AAAAGGAGAGCAAGAAGCTCACCAACCCAGGAATCGAAAGCCAAGGAAACCTGGAAGAGAGCCTTGAGAAAACAATCCAGGACAGAAGGGGATAAATGAACAGAAGAGGAAAAAATGGTGCACTCGGTTCAGAACCAAACAGGCTCAGGTGGTGCATGAGCACGCCAGAGGTGAAACAATGCATGAGAACAGCCTGTGAAATGGAGCCGAGGACATATTGACCCTGAGTGCAAGCTGCAGCATCTCTGCCAGCACCACACAATATGAGGTGACAGTATTTGGCATAGGATGCTAAATCAGAAAAACCAGGATTAAAAGGAAAGAAACGTCTTTCCATCCATCTCAAAGAAACATCATCTGCTCAAAACAGTAGAACAATGCTGAAGATCTGTATAAGAGAGAATGTCTGTCCAAGGTTGGAGGCCAGAGGCATAGGGCTAGCCTCGCCCAACTTTGCAGGGGAAATGGTCTGGGGTATGGAACCATTTCATTACATTCAATGATGGATTATTTTATCTAAAAAATTTGATTTTTTATTAAAATAAAATAAATAAAATAAAATGTTTATTTAGGTAAGGTACATACATACAATAAATTTTTACAAAGATTGGTTGACTTATAGGTAGAGCTAGTACATACAATGCCTAAAGCCACTATTATGCAAAGCGTTTCGGGCATATTCATAATTTTGAAGGTCATAGATGGAAAGAGCACAATTTTTCTTATTAGGAATGTAGTAAAAGATATGAAGCAAAAACAGGTTTTTGACCTGTTTTTCTGCCCTTGCTGGATTAAAAAGGTGCTGCAGCAAAATGGTTAAATTGTTTAGTTACAAAATAAGATGTGCCTATTTTGAGGGAAATGTTTTGTTTCTCTGTTGGCCCGTTCCATTTGTGCAATGAGTAATACTGTACTTAAAAAAAAAATATCCCTTTATTTTAGAAGCTCTTGGTGCCATTATAATCCTTCCTGATCACTGTTAGTTTAATTATCTGAGGATAACTTACCATTTCATTCTTATTTGTTTTCTTTCCCTCTAAACATGCATGAAGCAAGTGGCAAAAATTTAGCCAAGTGAGTATGTTTTGCAAGTGGTGTAAAATTAGCCATAGCCTCAATATAAGGGGACTGTATCAATTCTTTATATTTTAGTATAACTAACTAGGATATTGATATAAAGGTGCTAATATTTGATTGATTCTTTACCCAAAATGGTAGAGCCATATTTTTATTTCTATTGTAGACTTCCTTTAGTCTATTGTATGTTTTTTTCCTTTACTGTACATCTGTATTTATTAATTGTTGAGTAGTTGTTAGTAATTGTTAAGTAGTGTTTAATAATTTTTGGTATATATCTATTCATTACAGAAGTTCATAAAATTTCAGCATTTCCATAATTTCCTTATTTGCTTCACTAATTAATTACTAAGTAAACTTCCAACAGGTCTATTAATGTCTCGCATTTTTGCAGAAAGTTACTGAAATGGATGGTGGTAATGGTGGCCCACCCAAGTATGGGAGCTCTGGGGCAAAAAACCAGGGCTTAACAGGCACATTGCATCCCAAATCACTTGCTGGAAGGGAAACTGATAGGTCTTCCCAAGGCCAAAAGGCTCCTCCGAGAGCATCCATGCTTCACAAGGAATATGGATTACATCAAACATCCTTCAGTGAGGGTCAGTTATCTAGTCAGGGCATCTGTCCTCCTGGTACTGATCTGCATCACAATGCTACATCCAAAGGTCATGTGCCACTTAAGCATACTATAGATGATGCAAAAGGCATTACCATTCATAACGTTGCAGATATTCCTCTACCTACACAGGCACCACCTTCAACAGTACGCCAAAGGCCTGCTTTAATTTCTACTACTGTGCCTTATCCAGCTGTATTGCCATCACAACGACAACCATCAGCTAGTGTAAAACCTTTAACTTCTTTTAAGGCTGACACAGGAGGTTCATATAACAAGCCTGAAGGAAGCAAATCTTCTACTGTTGTCACACCCACTCCAAATATTGTGGCATCTGCAGTAACTAGTAAGCCTCATCCCAGCATGCCAAAAGTGAATACACCATGTATCCTCAACCAGCCCCAGAGATCAAGTATTATTGTTGGAACTGGTAGTATGAAAGGATCACCTCAAAAGTTCTTACCTGCACAGGTTTCCCCCAAAACCCCTGTAAATGTGAGGCCAGCTTTGTCTGAATCTGAAGTTGTTAGCAAGACTGTTAGTTCAGATTTAAAATCAACTAGTTCAGTCTCACTGTCACGACCTTCAGAGGGCCTCTCTTCACTAGTGTCCTATTCCTCTTCAGATGAATCAACTTCTGAAGACAATGCTCAAGATGATCTAGAAGATAGTAGTTTGTCATCTGTTTTAGATGAACCAATGGACACTGGTGAAAATAGTAGTCAATCAGTAGGTACTTTTTCCAAGGTGTTGGGAAAAAAATCTGTAACTCCTGAGCAGGTAAAGAAATTGGTTGAAAAACAACATGAAAAGGTAGATATTGTCTCAGCTGAGGCCAGTGCTGATATAAATGCAAGACGCCAGGTGCAGAGTGTGCCAGGTAGGCCAGCTGATGCAGTGAAGGAGCAAGAAACCAACCCCATTTCAAAGAAGGAAATTAATATTGGAAAGGAAAGAACAAAAGTGTATTCCAAAACTGATGAGAGTAAAGATGAAAAAGTTGTTTGCAGCACAAAACTTGTTAAAGATGCAAATGTGACAAGAGAACTAAAAAGGAAAGAAGAGGCTCAACCTTCAGGTATACCTCTCACTGTTAAAGAAGTCCCCTCAAAAGAGTGCCCACCAAAAGTTCCTCTTCAGCCGGCAGTCATTGACACATCAGATGGCCAACATTCACTACAACGAGAGAAAGGCAAGTTTTTTTTTTTTAGTTCATGTTATTTTCAGAGCAAGGTCCCCTCAGCAGCCTCCCTAGCCTTACATATGTGATCTATCAGTGACACTGACAATCTGCCAGGGGCCAGATTCACGAAGCAGTTACGCAAGCACTTACGAACCTGTACATCTTTTCTCAATGTTTGGCGGCTTTGTTTACAATAAATAAACAGTTAATGAGCTCCTAAACACCAGGAGGCTGTTTGTAATAATAACAAAAGTTGATTGGGAAGTTTTGTAAACTGTTTAATAAATGTAACCAAAGCCGTCAAAGATTGAGGAAATGTGTACACGTTTGTAAGTACTTGCGTAACTGCTTTGTGAATCTGGCCTCAGGTTCTGAGTGATTCTATCCCCCAAGGAGACAAGTATTTTATGCAAATGTTAATGACCCAGCTATAAACGAATGGGACATGACATTTTAATTTTGTTCTCTCATATGATGGCCAGAAGAACCTATTTATGGAGATTCCTCCTACATTGCCAGTATTTCTTAGGACCCAGCCCTTAAGCTTATTTTTCAAAGGTAGGACTATGACACTGATTAAACCTGGCTCATCGACTTTCCCTGCCCAAAACACTTTCTTTAACCCTCAAACTGTGCATAAATATTCCATGCATTGCCTCACATGTACATAAAAAAAAATTACACAAATATTTGTAATATATTGTTAAAGGTGATAATATACCTCTAGACATGATGCACAGTTGAAGAGTTAATTAGCGTCCAAGAAGCAAAAATATTATGAAATACATTCTTTGTTCCATGGTTTAGCTGTGGTGGAGTCATAAAGATAGCATATCTTGAGGTTAACTTGAGGTGATTTTGGGGCTTAGTGTCCCCACAGCCCGGTCCTCGACTAGGCCTCATATTTTTGGTATCTGGAAGCTGGGGTCGTCCGTCATGGCGACAAGTAATGGGGTGAGGTGCTGCTCCACACTTTCTCTTTCTATCTTATTTTCCTATTTTATAAATTATTATTTTATTTCTTCTGTAGTCATATGATATATTGTACTCTATTATACTGTATTTGGATGTCATTAGTGGTTTTAATCTTTCATATACTGTACAGTGGTATCTCTGTTTTCAAATTTAATCCATTCCCAGAGACGGTTCAAAAACTGAAAATTTGAAAACCGAAACTAAATTCCCATAAGAAATACTGTAATGTAAATTGAATTAATCCGTTCCAGACCCCCAAAAATATTTACTTAAAAATACATTTAATACATACTACTACTTATATGTTGTACTACAGTATGTACAAGTATATCTTACCTTTATTTAGGACTCTTGTTGGTGTATTGAAGACAGGAAGGGAGAGAGGAGGACAGGTTGTGGCTCACTGCTTGCTTGTCTTACTAAGAATCTGTCTATAGACCCATGTTTTTCCCTACGTTTTAACACTTGTCTGTAGTGAGACATCACAGTGTCTCACTATGAATGATCTTTTGTTTTTCCTCTTTTGTCATCCTCACAACTATTTTTTTAGGTTGAACTTTACCTTGGAACCTTTACCTTGACTTCCTTGGAACCCATGATCTGATATATAATAAAAATTTTCATGTTCAGAAACCAAAAAAGCACAAAAACAATGAAATTCTTCACAAATAATTCGAGCGCGGTCGTCACTAGGCGGGAGGCACTAGTAAACTGAAGTGCGCCACGCACTCGGTCGGCCTATATGTGTATCAACAAACTCGAGCACTGAGACAAACTTCGAGTTCCGAGTCAAATTTTTCAAAGAAATTGAGCTCAAGAACAGAAAAATTTGAAAGACGGGGCATTCGAAAACTGAGGTTCGACTGTAATTTGAGACATGAATACATACAGATATTCATCACGTGTTAATTTTCATAATTTACACAAATAGTACAGATATATATGCTTATCACACTATGTACACCCTATATTTATCTTTATCAATATTAATATGAGACAACTTTTTTTACAATTCCACATAACACACATACTTTGCAAATATATCTATGGATATCATTGATTACCTGTTTTAAAAAAGTTGAGGAGAGTGTGAGATAGCCAGAGAAACAATCATGGTTCAGAGTGCAGCATCGTCTCACTTATTGCACCATGTCATCAGCAATATGTTTTTCTATGTCAATGCTCGGGAAAACATAACCACCTGAAGATTTAGGGTCCCGGTAGTACATTACAGCCGTGTTCGAATCCCAGACGGGACAGAAATGGTTGATACTCAGGAGTTAGTCAGCTTGTTTTGGGGTTGTATCCTGGGCGGGGTCAATAATTTGACCCGGGGGTGGGGACCGTGATAAAGCCTAACATATATGAATACACTCTGGCTTCCTGTCCCCCAACACAGTGAATTATATTATTATAACAGTCAGGGTGTATGTTGACATCTCTTGTTACTATGCAGACCTGAGCATAACTTATCACTTATGTTAAAACCAATAAATGATCTAAAGGTTTATCATACATAAAAGTTGTCTGCATTAAAGTCTCTCACATACAACTGTGATACCTGTAGAATTAATTTGCTGATTATAAAGTTAATTAGGATTAAGCTCTTGCAGGGAATTCAACCAAGATTTTGTTATGAAATTATATACTGTATTTCCAAGATACTGATTAGAAAATTCAGTGCTCTTTGATCATTTGAGTATGTTAATTTATTTGGTTTACTTCTGTCACATATTTGAGTATTGCATTGAGCTGATACCATTGGTATTAGTTGATAAAATAATAATAAGCTTATGAAATTGCAATTACGGTAACTCATACCATTGTTTGAAGTTCCTCCAATAACAGGTGGTTCATACATTATAGTGAGCTCATGTCATTGTATTTCTTAATAAACTTTATATTCATCTACTTGTGCCAATCATGCTTGTTCATGTATAATAAAAATATGAATTGTGTTTGTTAATTCAATTGCACTTTATTTATTCCACAGGGAAAGAAAGTTTGCAAATTACCAAGGAGATGGAGCATCAGCCACTCAAAAGTGAACTTGTACAGAAATGTTCCATCTCGAAAACATCTGGTAAAGACCCTCAAGCTGAACATGTAAAATCTTCCCCAAAAACGGAAGCCAAATTAGAACAGCAAGACGCTTCCAGTATTCAGAAGAAACTTGATAGCCCTCTTGGGGTATCATTGCCGAAGTTGATTTCTGTGCCAGTAAGTGAGAAAACTTACCACAGAGATCTTGGAAAGCATGGAGATGATAAGATGTGTGGAAGTGAAAAATTAACATCTTCAGAAAAAACAGTACCACAGGAAGTAGTTAAGAATACAGGATCTGGGAGACAATCTTCAGATATTAGAAGGGAAGTTGCTAAGAATACTGAAACTCTGGGACAACCTTCAGATTCCAGACATCAAGTTGCTGAAAATACTGCAACTGGCAAACAACAGTTACATGTTGGACAGGAAGCTGCTAAGAATGTAGAAACTGTGAGACAGCCATTAGATCTTAGACAGGAGGTAACTCAGAATGTTGGAACATGTGGACATCCTTCAGATGTCAGCCAGGAAGCTACCAAGAATGCTGGAACTAGCAAACAACCATTAAATGTTGGAATGGAAGTAGCTAAGAATGCTGGAACTAGCAAACAACCATTAAATGTTGGAATGGAAGTAGCTAAGAATGCTGGAACTAGCAAACAACCATTAAATGTTGGAATGGAAGTAGCTAAGAATACTGGAACTTTGGGACAACCTTCAGATTCCAGACATCAAGTTGCTGAAAATACTGCAGCTGGCAAACAACAATTACATGTTGGACAGGACGCTGCTAAGAATGTAAAATCTGTTAGAGAGCCATTAGATCTTAGACAGGAAGTAGTTAAGAATGCTGCAGCTGGCAGTCAACCATTTGATATTAGGCAAGATGAAGACAAGAAGGCTGGAATTCTTGGACAGTCTTCATGTATCAGACAGGAAGGAGCAAAGAATGCTAAAACTGATAGACACCCTTCTGATATTGGACAAAAAGTTGATAATGTTGACACTAGGAGACAACCATTGGACCTTAGACAGGAAATATCTAAGAATGGTGCAAGTAGCATACAACTTTCTGATGTTGGACAGGAAGTTACTAAGAATGCTGCAAGAAGCAGACAATTTGATAATAAACATGGAGCATCTCTGAATGTTGGAGCTCGTGGACAGTCTTCAGATGTTGGACAAGAAGTGGCTAAGAATACTGGAGCTCCTAAACAACCTTCGGATGTTGGACAAGAAGTGGCTAAGAATACTGGAGCTCGTGGACAGTCTTCAGATGGTGGACAAGAAATTTCTAAGAATACTGGAGCTCCTAGACAACCTTCGGATGTTGGACAAGAAGTGGCTAAGAATACTGGAGCTCCTAGACAACCTTCAGATGTTGGACAAGAAGTGGCTAAGAATACTGGAGCTCCTAGACAACCTTCAGATGTTGGACAAGAAGTGGCTAAGAATACTGGAGCTCGTGGACAACCTTCAGATGTTGGACAAGAAGTGGCTAAGAATACTGGAGCTCCTAGACAACCTTCAGATGTTGGACAAGAATTGGCTAAGAATACTGGAGCTCGTGGACAATCTTCAGATGGTGGACAAGAAGTGGCTAAGAATACTGGAGCTTCTAGACAACCTTCAGATGTTGGACAAGAAGTGGCTAAGAATACTGGAGCTCCTAGACAACCTTCAGATGTTGGACAAGAAGTGGCTAAGAATACTGGAGCTCGTGGACAATCTTCAGATAGTGGACAAGAAGTGGCTAAGAATACTGAAGCTCATGGACAACCATTGCATGGTAGACAGGAAGTAGCTAAGAATGCTGGAACTGGTAAACAACTTTCAGGTGCTAGACAACCACTAGATATTAGACAGGAAACAGCTATGATTGCAGGAGCTGATGAAGAACCTTCACAATCTAGACAGGAGCTTGTAACTGATAAACAACTTTCAGATGCTAGACAAGAAGTAGCTATGAATGTAGGAAGTGACAGTCAATCATCAGATTTTAGACAGGAAGTAAATAAAAATGTTGGAAGTAGCAGAGAGCCTCCTAAGATCAGACAGAAATTCTCTAAGAAGGTTGAAACTGATAGAGAACCTCCAGAAGTTAAACAGGAAGTCATTAAGAAGGCTGAAGCTAGCAGAGACCCTCTCAAAATTAGACAAGATCTCACTAAGATCGCTGGAACTGGTAGAGAGCCTCCAAAAGCTGTACAAGAAGTCATTAAGAAAATTGAAACTGATGTAGAGCTTCCAAAAGTTAGAAAAGACGTCACTAACAAGGCTGAAGCAGGTAAATATCCTTTGGATGTTAGACAAGAAGTCACTAAGAAGGCTGAAACTAGTAGAGACCTTCCAGAAGTTAAACAGGAAGTCACTAAGAAGGTTCAAACTGATGTAGAGCTTCCAAAAGATAGAAAAGACATCACTAACAAGGCTGAAGCAGGTAAAGATCCTTTGGAGGTTAGACAAGAAGTCACTAAGAAGGCTGAAACTAGTAGAGACCTTCCAGAAGTTAAACAGGAAGTCACTAAGAAGGCTGAAACATGTAGTAAGCCTCCAGAAGGTAGTCAGGAAGTTGCTACTAAAAGACCTGGAACTGGTAGAGAACCTTCAGAAGTTAAGCAGGAAGTCACTAAGAAGACTGAAACTGGTAGGGAGCCTTCAGAAGTTAGACAAGAAGTCACTAAGAAGGCTGAAACATGTAGTAAGCCTCCAGAAGGTAGTCAGGAAGTTGCTACTAAGAGATCTGGAACTGGTAGAGAGCCTTCAGATGTTAAGCAGGAAGTCACTAAGAAGACTGAAACTGGTAGGGAGCCTTCAGAAGTTAGACAAGAAGTCACTAAGAAGGCTGAAACATGTAGTAAGCCTCCAGAAGGTAGTCAGGAAGTTGCTACTAAGAGATCTGGAACTGGTAGAGAGCCTTCAGATGTTAAGCAGGAAGTCACTAAGAAGACTGAAACTGGCAGAGCACTTGCAGAAGTTATCCAGGAAGTTACTAAGAAGGCTGAAAGTGGTAGAGAACCTCCTAAAGTTAAGGAGGAAGTCACTAAGAAGACTGAAACTGGCAGAGCACTTGCAGAAGTTATCCAGGAAGTTACTAAGAAGGCTGAAAGTGGTAGAGAACCTCCTAAAGTTAAGGAGGAAGTCACTAAGAAGGCTGAAACTAGTAGGGAGGCTCCAGAAGTTAGACAAGAAGCTTCAAAGAATGCTGGACATGGTAGAGTGCCGCCAGAAGTTAAACAGGAAATCACTACAAAGAATGAAACTGGTAGTGAACTTTCAGAAGTTAGACAAAAAGTCACTAAAAAGCCTGAAACTAGTAAAGAGCCTCCAGAAGTTAGACATGAAGTCACTAAGAAGGCTGAAGTTGGAAGAGAATCTTCGGAAATTAGACAAGAAGTCACTAAGAGAGCTGGAACTGGTACAGAGCACACAGAAGTTATTCAGGAAGTTACTAAAAAGGCTGAAACTGATAGAGAGCTTCCAGAGGTTAGACAAGAAGTCACTAAAATGACTGAAACTGGGAAAGATCCCCCAGAAGTTAAACAGGATGTCATTAAGAGAGCTGGAACTGGTAGAGAGCCTGCAGAAGATAGACAAGAAGTCACTAAAATGGCTGAAACTGGCAGCAAACCTCCAGAAGCTAGACAGGAAGTTGCTGCAAAGAGACTTGGAACTAGCAGAGAGCTGCCTGAAGTTAGCCATGAAGTTAAGAAGAAGGCTGAAACTGGTAGAGAGCCTCCTGAAGTTAGACAAGAAGTCACCAAGAAGGCTGAAACTGGAAAATACCCTCCAGGAGTTAAACAGGATGTCACTAAGAGAACTGGAGCTAATAGAGAGCTCACAGAAGGTAGACAAGAAGTCTCTAAGAAAGCTAGAATTGGTAGAGAGCCTCAAGAAGTTAAACAGGAAGTCACTAAGAGAGCTGGGTCTGGTAGAGAGCTTCCAGAAGTTAAACAGGAATTCACTAAGAGAGCTGGATCTGGTAGAGAGCTTCCAGAAGTTAAAGAGGAAGTGACTGTGATGGCTCAAACTAGTAGAGAGCCTCCAGAAATTAGACAGGATGTTTCTGAACATTCTGAAATTGATAGAAAGGAAGTAACTAAGAGAACTAGAACAGGTCGACGCTCTTCAATTGCTAAACATAAAGTTGCTAAGAATGCTGGGACTAGAAAACAAATTTCAGATGTTGATGCTAGCGTAACTCGAGGAACTGTTAAAGGCAATAAAAAATCTCCCAAAACCCAAGTAAATAAGCAAAGGTATGGAGAGCGAAGAACAAAGCGATCCATGAAGGATTTGGATTTCATTCAGGAAGACGCACAAGAAGTCCACCCACCAGTGGAAAAGAGGGCTCGATTTGAGGAAGAAGTGGGTTCGTCTTCATTCCCTGACAAAATAAGACAAGCTCACGAGGAGTTAAGTGAAGTTGAAGAATTGGAAAAGATGGAAGTGGAAACTAAAGAGGAGGAGGAGGAAGTTGAAGCAGCAGATAGTCATTTTCCATTAATGGAGCATGTGCATAAGATTGATGATGAAAGTAGAGATGGCCTTGATGATAATGATGATGACATGCAGGACAAAGATAATAACAGTGATGGTAAAGAAAAGGATGATGGCAAGGACGACGAAGCTTCTACACCATCAAAAAGAAGGAAAAAGAAAAAGAAATCTTATGAAAGACCAAGAGGAGAAGGTGGAAAATTTATGAAAGAGAGACCAGGTATGCTGTAACTTAATTGTTCTGTTTAATTTGATTTATTTTCTACATTTCATTGTTGAAGTGAATTTACTGAACTCTCTCTTTGTTTTCATTTGATAACTTTCATGTTATGACCTCTGCTTTAGGTAACTAAAGCAATCTTAAATTACTTTAGCATTCTCCTTTCTTTTCTATAATACTGTACCTTGTTCTTCTGGACACCCATCCACTTTTGTTGGGGGTGGCCACATGGAGAATCTCCTCTGGATATTTCATGTGCTTTTAAGTTCTGAAGGTTTCTTCAGGACCATTTGAAATTTTTGCCAAGAAATTTTACATGCTTACCTGGCTGTAAGATTATTGCAGCTGTTATCTTGTGGTTGTCTGGCTATAACAGCAAAGAAGCCATCATTCCTTCTTTGCCATGAAAGTAAGAATGTGTACTTGCCTTAGTAAGCATATACACAAGTCAGAAAGTACAGTAGACAGGAAAACTCAAAAGACATATTGCAAAACTAAAGAAGATCAAGGGAAAGCTTTGTTAATTGAAAAGGCTCTGCCGTGTGCAAAATCAACGGGTGTGCAAGTTGTTTCAAGTCAAAGAGCTCAAAGCATAATTTTCTTTCTTTGATGAGAATCCATTAAGAAGTTTTGAAAGGGGGCTGAGAATTTCCATGTGTGTTCTTTGAGTTTATAATGTAGAATCATTTGCAACTTTCATCACATAAGATGCTTCCTTGATCCTGATTGGTTGAATTATTTAATGAAGCCAAAAAATAACCCAAGTTTTATATACTCTATTACCTGGAGTGGGTTCTGAGAATTGTTCTACTCCTCCTGGTTTGGGGCCAGGCTTGTTTTGTGATAACTTGATCAAAAAAGCTGTTGCTTGGAGCAGCCTGCAGGCCACCCCCCCTCCCCTATATCCATTAGCACCTGTTTCATCCAGTTGTATAACTCCATTATGGAAATGCTCAGTGTAGGAGAAAGCGGTGCTTTCCAGATCATGCATTTCTTTCTCAGCAGTGCTGTAGAAGGGTCACAAAAGTAGCATAACAAATATTTGAATTAGAAATGTCTGTAAAAGCTAATGGTAAACAAACTTTTGTATGAAAATTTGTGCATAATTCAATTTCATTTTGCATTTGCTATGTTCACTTCATATTAAGTAAGGAAATTGTGGTTGCACATAACTTCAGCAATGTGTCAAGAGGCAGAAACGCATAAATCGTGTCAAGATAACCCAAACCAGCAAGTGCATACCAGGTAAAAATAAGTGAGAATACCTGAAGAAAAAAAATTGGGGGTGGGTGGGTGGGGGCAGGAACCCCCTCAGTGGATTCTTAAGCTTTATTTCCTCTGGTTGCACCAAACCTGTCCTGCTGGTCCTGGGTCTGTAGGTGTTAGTGGCCTTGCATTTTGGTTAATGGCATGCTCGCATCCTTGCACTTTGGTCAATGCCATGCTTGCGTTCTTGCACTTTGGTCAATGCCATGCTTGCGTTCTTGCACTTTGGTCAATGCCATGCTTGTGTTCTTGCACTTTGGCCAATGCCATGCTTGCGTTCTTGCACTTTGGCCAATGCCATGCTTGCGTTCTTGCACTTTGGTCAATGGCATGCTTGCGTTCTTGTACTTTGGTCAATGCCATGCTTGCGTTCTTGCACTTTGGTCAATGCCATGCTTGCGTTCTTGCACTTTGGCCAATGCCATGCTTGCGTTCTTGTACTTTGGTCAATGCCATGCTTGCGTTCTTGCACTTTGGTCAATGGCATGCTTGCGTTCTTGTACTTTGGCCAATGGCATGCTTGCGTTCTTGCACTTTGGTCAATGGCATGCTTGCGTTCTTGTACTTTGGCCAATCACATGCTTGCATCACTTATGTGATATTTTGTGATCGTGATCCTGAACGGCTTGCAGAGCATTTGAGGTTAGAAGTCAGTGTTTGCCTTACCTTGACGCTTGCTCTGTGCCCAGCATGCTTGCCTGTCTGTGTGATGGTTAGGGTGGCCAGTGTTCCTCGCTCCTGTGCAGGTAGTGAATAGCATCAAACAACAAATAGAAAAGGAGTGATGAGTTTTTATAAACAACTTGACAGAACTAGAGGGAGCCACATGGCAGGAGAGAAGAAATGGGGGACTGGAGAAGAGTTAAAAGGGATTCTAGACAAAGTGCAGGCAAGTAGAACAACCCAAGATATATACAAATTTTCTTGGATGGGGGAGGGTTTAACTGGGTCAACAAAGACCAGTGAAGATTACCTTCCAAAGAAGTCTTCCAGTGAGGTGTATACTGGCAGAGAAGAGAAGATTGAGGGATGAGGGAAGATACAGCCGGGTGTTCATTGATTGGGACATGAGTAAGGAAGGAAGAAAGAGAGGAAGATATGAGAAATAGAGAGGAAAAGCAAAGGCAAATGTAATGGGGGACAGGAAATGAGGTTGGCAGTAAACAAGAAGCAAGACCAGGGTAGGGCAGGAAGAGGATAATCGGGCACAACAGGAAATTGGGCCTAATCAAGCTGGTGAGGAAAGAGCCCAAGAGAATGAGTGAGAGTTTACTAACAGCAAGTTATTATATTCACATTATATTCTTTGAACTTATAAAACATAGTTTTTGCTGTTATTATACGTTATTCACACATTATATATACAGTATATCTATCAACATTTGTATGCACCATAATGAATCGATAAACAGCGTTAGTGGGTGTAGTGATGACATCGAAACACAGCATGGAGTCACACGATGTGAGCAGACGTCACCTGATGCAACAAAATGCTTGCAATATACAACACACATTGTTAAGACTCCCCATAGAACTGCTATTATTATCACATTCCTCTCACTAAATTCTGAATCTGAATATATATCCCAGAAATTGATGTTTAGTTACGCAGTGGTAACACACACACACACTTGCCCCGTGCTTCGCGAGCGATTTGGCTAGGTTCATATCCTGGCTGGGGAGGATTGACTAGGCACCGATCCTAAACTGTATGCTTCTGTCCACCCAGCAGTAATTGGGTACTTGGTTGTTAAATAAGTGTCAAGTTTATATCAGGGAAACTATTGGGTAAGGCTTACCATGAGCTATGGGAAGGTAAAGCTCTCACCCTGCTAACAGGAGTCAGCAGTTGTTTGCTTCTGTATTTTCCAAAGTAAAAAAAAAAAAATAAAAATAATTAATACAAATACAAAAAAAAACATGTAGATCATAGATATTCACAGATTTATTTATGTCACTAATATGTACACATTATGTTCTTTGAACAATAACACGCAGTTTTTGCTGTTATTATGCTGTACACACATCATATATAGCTGTCTATATTTATATAAACCATAACAAACCACTAAGTAATTCTGGTATATGTAGTAATGAAATCTTAGAACAATATTGAGCCAGATGCTATGACGCGATGACTCGAGCAGTCAGCATCAGCTGACGTAGCAAAATGCCTTCGGTATACTGCACTGAATCGCTATGTCTAGCCACAGCTTTGCATGATGCATACCTCAAAACGACTTACAGTACTAGTCAACTTGTGGTGTTGACGAGTGGTGGGCGCACCACTCGTCAAGCGAGACATCTCGGTTTGTGCAGTACGGGTCTGAACCTGTGGCAGTTTTCATTTACAGTATAACCTGCATTGAGGGTGTAGGTCTGTGGGTGGTTCTTTACTTTTGTGTGTGTCTTGGTGAATGAATATGTAAATGAAGGAATAAGTGAATGAATGTGTGTATGAAGGAATGAAGGAATAAGTGAATGAATGTGTGTATGAAGGAATGAAGGAATAAGTGAATGAATGTGTGTATGAAGGAATGAAGGAATAAGTGAATGAATGTGTGTATGAAGGAATAAGTGAATGAATGTGTGTATGAAGGAATAAGTGAATGAATGTGTGTATGAAGGAATGAAAGAAAGTGTGTGGTGTGTGTGAAGGAGTATGTATATACAGTATGTTCCGAATTAATTTCTTACCAGCTTGGGATCTTCAACCCCTAAGATAATTAATATCATGACAGCATGTTTATGTTTGAGGTGATGTTAACACTTTCGCGTTCCGGGCAGGCGCGCGGTCAACTTAGGGGTCATGGACCGAGCGTGCGGGTAAGCGCGTGGTGACACCCAAATGTGTATACTCGTTCCAGCTTTCTCACCTTAATTCTCGTGCTACGTTGCTCGTTTTGGTATCATTGTGTTCGCAATTAAATTCCCTACAGATGTGTATGAATATAATGTACAAAAGCCTGGAGTGCCTCCCCGCAGAAAAGCCTAAAGTTACCCGTGAACGAACACCAATTTGTACACTGCAACCCTAATGTGTATACTCGTTCAATTTGATAACATCAAATTTCGTGTTACGTCTTTCATTTTGGTATCAAATTGTTTGCAATAAAAAGGTGCGTATTTTAAAACTAGTCCCATAATAATAGAGCAATAACTGGAATTTTAATTCTGGACGCTCATCATCACAAAATTATTTATATCTTTCCAGTGTTCTGACATAAGTTTGTGTGTTACATCTTTCATTTTGGTATCAAATTGTTTGCGACCTAAAGGCGTGCATTTTAAAACTAGTCCCAAGATAATAGGACAATAAATAGAATTTTAACAAATATTTTAATATTTTGACCAAAAGCCTATTTATAATCTTTCAAGTGTTTGGACATCAAGTTTCATGTTATATCTTTCATTTTGGTATCAAATTGTGTGCAATCTAAAGGCGCTTATTTTAAAACCACTACCAGATTGATCTGATAAAATTTAAATTTTTAACAAATATTTTAATGAGTGACTCAGCGCCGCGTCTTCAGTGTGGAATCGGGAGAAAAATGAATGACAAGAGGTTCAGTCGTTGGAACGCGAAAGTGTTAAGCCTAGGGTAAAGACACTACACCTCACATACAGATGGACAAACATAAACAGACATACAGAATATATACAGATACATACATAAAAACAGAATACAGAAACATGTATAACCTTTGTTATATTTTAACCTTCTTCCTTTTTTTTTTTTTAACAAATTATAATACCTTAAGTACTATGGATGGAAACACAAAATATTGACTGTTTTACCACCAAAAAAGTTGACATTTTATACTATTAATTTTATGTAGGGCATGAGAAAGATGGCAACATTCAAATGTTACTTTTCCTAGGCCTTGTATAGGACATATATATGTGCTAAATTAGGCCTAAGATTGAATTGTTTGGCCTAGGACTGCTTATTTTGGCCACAGGCAGGATTGGTAAAGGTTATTTTCTTCCCCCTTTTTTGGTATGCCCTTTTGTATGCAATTAAGTAGTTAGACCTACCTGGGGGAATGGTGATTGGCCAGACCTATATATACGTGTTAAATGTGCTGTTCTTGAGGCGTGACAATTTCCAGTAGTGGGTGATAAGACAGTGGGTTACGAACGTAACACTACCACGGCACATCACCTGTTTTGTAACCTGATGATACTAAGTAAGGTCTGTGATCAGGCAGAATTATTCACATTGTCACTAGCAACATTGAAGTCAATATTACTGTTACTGTTATATTTTCATCCCGTCAGGTAACCTTTGCAAATTACTATATGCATCAATAGGTGTAAAATGTTTGCACCTTTGGTCCAGGACCATGTTCAGGACTAAAATACACTAACTGGCTGATTAGTAAGCTATTATGTTGGACTTAATATCCCGCTAGATATTGTGTGGGGGTGTTTGACTGCATATATGGATGGGTGTTTGTATATTTTGGGGTGGGTGTAAATATGTATGTTGGGGAAATTGTGTGATTAGTTCTTGAAGATACAGGCCTTATGAAACCTATGGCAAACCAATAAATATAGGGTAGTCAGAGACTCGACCTCCAGACGTGTGCAGAGCAGTCTCTGTCCGTGTCTGGAAGTCGATGTTCAGTGCCGTATATCTTTGGGAACCAGCGAGGGATAAGATTTATTTTTTTTATATATGGTTATTTTTGGTTTGGTGTATGCTATGGGATTTTGAGCGAGTTAATTGTTTGCATCCAGAGACCAATGAAACGTTCGGCAGTCATCTCCGTACATATCATATTACACTTGGTGTTACTCTTCTGAGTGTCTACCTGCCAATCTGTCTGCCTAAACTTTGGAGAGTCTACATGTGCCTGAAAGAAAGAAAAAATAAAATACAGTAGATTTAATTTTAAACATCTTTATTTTGATGATCAATACTTGCATATTATTTTTCCTCATGATTTATTAGGTGCATGTACCTCGAAGTCGAAAATGTTGGTCACAAATATTTTCTCCAAATGTTTATTTGTGGATACTGTATCTATAATATTGTGGGATGTATACAGATGGGTTCTATTTTAGTGCCTGTCTCTTTTTCTGATTGCTTCAAGAAATGGAGATTTTTAAATTGCTGTAGTCTGGTAGACTTGTCTTAATGATACACAGTAGATACCAGTTACTTACACAGTCCTGTCATGAATGAATGTATCTATTCCCACGAGCTACCCACTTGGTGTCCTCCAAACCCAAATACCCCACCAGGCTCCAATGATCCATGAGTAACTCCCAGGACCATAATATGGCCCCTCCTCAGTAGAGGCACATATTAATATAAAGAGAAAACTGAAGCCATAAATATCAAAAGTGCCCAACTTGATTATTGGAGCAAGTGTCAGTATATTGCATATCTAGTGTTGATGCACTCGTTGCCCTCTCCACCTAGCAGCTGTGTACACTTCACGTAACCAGAAAAGAAGCTAATTATTTTCACATTTTCATAATTGTTATATTCCAATACGATATATCATTCTATAAGTTTTTATTTTGTTGCATAGGCAAAGACCTTTGATGATACCTACACTTTGAGGGTTAAATTGTTAGATAACTTATAGGTAAACACCAAGAAAGGTACATTATGATAAATAATAAATATTGTGGCCAGGTACCAGAACTAAAACAAATGCCTCATTGCCAGTACCTGGCCACTGAAACCAAGCATATCCAAATCCATTTAAAATGGTCACCAATGCATGTTAACACACAATACTTCTTGTACGGTATATTTATTTTGGATGTTAATGATAAGAAATTCCTGATATGAAACACTGAACATTGGGGAGGAAGGTGGGGAAGGGGAGGGGTGGCAATGGTTGCAAACGAAGCCATCAATCAATGAGAAAATATCACCAAAGAATGCCAACAGACTATTCTACCTTGTCCAATAATGTCGAATCTTAATGTTTAGTGGTTCCTACAGAATGAGTCAATGAACAATGGAATGCCTCATGCCTGTGCTTGTTTGGGGGCCATGCCAGTGTCCGGTCCCCCAGGTAGCTGATGTTCGGGAACTTCATTTGTTATTTCACTAATTGTTATTGCCTAATAATATTGAATCAAAGAAAGGTATAATATAGACCGTAATATGCATGATTGTACTTACGAATGTAAATTCTTAAGTAAATTCGTAAGGTAAATTCCCTTATGAATAGGTTATATATATCTATCTACTGTATCTAGATAATGGCACCCTAGGTGAGTGGGAAAAATAGCATGTGCTTTATTGCTGGCCACCTACATTCTGTATTTTGGGTAATATCTCAAGTATTGCATCTACAACTATGTCTACATGATTGTGATGTCCTTTTCTAAACATCTCTTGTGTATAAAAACCATCAGTGTTGATGTCAAGGTATTGCTGTATTTTCTAATCCGATTCAAACACCAGTAACTTGAGTTATGTGGCAATATACAGATGACTTTATCTTAACCTTATTGCAACTTCTGTTTTTTTTTTTTTTAGTCTTTCCATGCATTGCTAGATGGTGTGCTTCATGCTGGTACTGTGTATTTAGATTGGGTCTGACATAATGAGTTCTTGTTGAGTGGAAATTGTGTGTAGTGAGAATTGTGTTTAGTGAGGATTGTAGGCTGATTAAATATTGTATGTATTGAGAATTGAGTGTGATGAAGATTCTGTGTAGTAAAGATGTACTGTACAGTATACTGATTTTCGACTGTACTAAGGTGTAACCCATGAAATTTAAGAGGCTGTGAATCCAGCAGGTGCCAACGAGGATCATCCTGCTCTTAATGTATGCAATACTGGATTTATCATTACAAATATAGTATATCAAAGTCTGTACATTCAATTATCAGTACTTTTATACAGTGGTGTAAACCACTACTTTCACCACTCATGCTTTTCTTATTTTGGGGCTAATGCAGAATACTATTAGGACAGGTTATGATTACACTTATTTAGGTTCGGTTAAATTATTTTCATTACCCACTAGAAAAACTCGAGTACAGTACTAAATTATATAGTAAAGAATAGCACATTTGGCACCCCATGTATCTTTCATCTTAGAGTTAAATGCTACTACGTATGTGTAAATGCACGCGCACGCGCACACAGATTGATAGGGAGATATATTCATGTAAGGGAAAGAAAAAGAGACATGAGCAAGATAGGAGATTGATTAGAGAGAGAAAGAGAGAGGGTAAGAAATAGGGAGGATGGGGTGATTAGACAGTGAGAAATTAATACTAAAATTTGTTTATAAACTGTTCATTTAATTATATATTTTTAGATACTCACTGGCACTCTACAGATCCATCTATGCTGGATGAGGAGACAAGAATGGACTACAGTTTACTTCAGGATGAGGACTCTCAGGGCTCCTCAAAAAGGGAAGTACGCAGATTCCGCTGTGAAGTTATTGTCCCAGAAAGGTGAGATTTAAATAACGTTCTCCTAGCTATTCATCTCATTTTATACTTAATTATGTTTTCTTTTATCAAATCATGGGATATATATTCAATTGTATACAGACACTAGTTTATCTTCACAGATTCTATTATTTAAAGTCCCTATAGTATTATCTGAAAACTGGCCTACAAAGTCTTCTTGTTCACTTGGCTGGTATATTTATTTCCACTTTCATTAAAAGGAGAGAGATTTTGTTCTTTCATAGAAAAAAATAGGGGTTATCTTAAGTTTATTGTACACAAATAAATGTGGAAATAAGAAAGCCAAGACTGTTAAAGTTATGCACATATGTAAGAGAAATAGGTAAATGGGTGACCAGACCGGGAACCGGTCGGCCGAGCGGACAGCACACTGAACTTGTGATCCTGTGGTCCTGGGTTCGATCCCAGGCGCCGGCGAGAAACAATGGGCAGAGTTTCTTTCACCCTATGCCCCTGTTACCTAGCAGTAAAATAGGTACCTGGGTGTTAGTCAGTTGTCACGGGCTGCTACCTGGGGGTGGAGGCCTGGTCGAGGACCGGGCCGTGGGGACACTAAAGCCCCGAAATCATCTCAAGATAACCTCAAGATAACCTGACCACCAACATAGAGGAACGTTGATCCTCGGAATCATCGGAAGGTAACTGCAAGGTTCCTTATCTTGCAGGGTTACCTTGCGATGATTTCAGAGCTCAAATTGCCCGTGGTTGGTGGTCAGGTTATCTTGAGGTTATCTTGAGATGATTTCGGGGCTCATGGCCCGGTCCACATCCAGGGGCCTCCTGGTTGCTGGACTGGGTCAACTAGGCTGTTGGATGTGGCTGTTCACAGCTTGACGTATGAATCACAGCCTGGTTGATGAGTAAAAAATAAAAGTATTAAAGGGCTGTATGGCATTTGAAGAAATGCCAAATGCCACAAAGGAGGTCTATTGAGTGAGTATTATGATTATAGATTAATATACATTATTTATTAAATGGATTGTCATTTATATCAGTGATTTGTGAATTAAAATATGCCAACTTGGGAAATTAGTATTGAATTGCTGAATTTTTATCAAGAACCTGTTTTTTCCTCTAGTACTGAGGCGTTCACTGCTGACAAGGTGGTTGAGTATGTTTGGCCATTGGAAGGCATTGGTGAACACTACTTCATACAAGAGCAAATTTCCCAGTACCTTGGCATCATGTCATTCAAGCGCCGGTACCCAGATCTACGAAGACGGCCAATTGACATGCAGGAGCGAGATTATTTGAAGGAAAAATGCTTAGTGTCAGAAATGGCCTGTGATTTAGGTTTGTAGACTGCATGCTCTCAGTTTTTCTATTTGATATTTATTGTATCTTTCACTGTATTTGAATTTCTTTTCGTATGTGTGAATCATTGGATCACCTTTGCATACTAACTTCAGTCATAAAGTTCCCTGATTCACATTTTAGAATAATTGTTACACTTCATCTACAAATTTAACAGAAGTTGTATAAAGATTGTACTCACTTGCTGTGATGTCAGAGAGTCCTTCCAGTACCTGTTGTCTCGGTTACAATCTTCCTACATTTGGAAGACCTGTACTAGAACCAAATTTAAGATGTTTATTTAAAATTTGGAATGTACAGTATTGTACATGTCTTAGAACCATGCCATATATCATTTCATCATCAAATTAACAGTTGTAATGTTAAATTTGTTAATATTTGCCTAGATATTCAATACATACAGTATGTATTTTTAATGTTGGTCAGTATCTTAGGAATTTACATTTCATATTTGCTTCAAAATTAAACTTATTTAGTGCTGTATGATTAACCATATTATTAATGTTTCAGACAAAATGGTAATAGTTTATAAACTGCTAATTTTAGTATACCATTTTAACCATGTATATAAACGTGAAATATTTGTAATAAAGTACCAGGATCATAACAATTCTTCACAAAAGTTAAACTATTATTGGCAGAGATGAGGCAAAGATTTCACATGTCGAAGGTTTTCACAAAGTAATACTGTACTGTACTTGCACTTCTGTTTCTGTCACAAAGAGAGGAGCCGGTCGGCCGAGCGGACAGCACGCTGGACTTGTGATCCTGTGGTCCTGGGTTCGATCCCAGGCGCCGGCGAAAAACAATGAGCAGAGTTTCTTTCACCCTATGCCCCTGTTACCTAGCAGTAAAATAGGTACCTGGGAGTTAGTCAGCTGTCACGGGCTGCTTCCTGGGGGTGGAGGCCTGGTCGAGGACCGGGCCGCGGGGACACTAAAGCCCCGAAATCATCTCAAGATAACCTCAAGATATGGAGGTCTAGATGCCTTGGAGGTTTAGATGCCTTGGTGGTTTAGATGTCTTGGTGGTCTAGATGCCTTGGTGGTCTAGATGCCTTGGTGGTCTAGATGTCTTGGTGGTCTAGATGTCTTGGTGGTCTAGATGCCTTGGTGGTCTAGATGCCTTGGTGGTCTAGATGCCTTGGTGGGTCTAGATGCCTTGGAGGTCTAGATGCCTTGGTGGTCTAGATGCCTTGGTGGTCTTAGATGTCTTGGAGGTCTAGATGCCTTGGTGGTCTAGATGCCTTGGTGGTCTAGGTGCCTTGGTGGTCTAGGTGCCTTGGTGGTCTAGAGACCTTGGAGGTCTAGATGCCTTGGTGGTCTAGATGCCTTGGTGGTCTAGATGCCTTGGTGGTCTAGATGCCTTGGTGGTCTAGATGCCTTGGTGGTCTAGATGCCTTGGTGGTCTTAGATGCCTTGGAGGTCTAGATGCCTTGGTGGTCTTAGATGCCTTGGTGGTCTTAGATGCCTTGGTGGTCTAGATGCCTTGGTGGTCTTAGATGCCTTGGTGGTCTAGATGCCTTGGTTCTCTTAGATGCCTTGGTGGTCTAGATGCCTTGGTGGTCTAGATACCTTGGTGGTCTTAGATACCTTGGTGGTCTTAGATGCCTTGGTGGTCTAGATGCCTTGGTGGTCTTAGATGCCTTGGTGGTCTAGATGCCTTGGTTCTCTTAGATGCCTTGAAAAAAGTCACGAAACAGTCTCATTTGCGCAGTTTATAATGCAAGCATTATAAAACATTTCTAAAATATAAATGCATTAGTTTGCATAATATTTCAAATAAAACAGCAAAATTAAAAAAAAAATTATTTGTAGAAAACTTGCTTTCTGAGATAAACTGACACTCAAGATTTCATGGCATTTCCCTCTCTAGAATCTAGATTAGTTAAGAAATTGGAATATCAGGGAGGGGAAACCAGAGGCAGATTTGGATTTGTAAAAAGAGATCCGCTATAGGAAGATTTAATTTTTAGAGGGTGCACTTTACATTGTCTTAACTCAACATGTGCCTACATTCTCTGAACTTAGCTCAATTCTCTTTCAGGTTTAACAGCTGTGAGAAGTGAAGATGTACTAGACGTTATGTTTAGTGATTTTCCCAGGAAGTTTGAAGAATTACAACGTCTCTTGAGGGAAAAAAAAGAGAATGAAATCAGAGAGAGGGGAAAAGGTGAGCTCGTCTACATGTGTCAGAAATTTAGGGTTAAATAATGTACTGTTTTAATTGTCAGCTACTCGCTAATTCAGTTAACAATATAATATTTGAATTACCTGGGTCAGGTAGTTCACAAAGTTGGCTGCACTACACCATTAAGATTTTTTCAGATAATTTATAGAACATAGTAAGCAGGTACACTAAGTTCTCGCTTAACATAATCGGTGCACCGGAAAGCTATGACAGGAGACAATTCTATAATGTAAGGTCATGATGCTTGTAAGCCGTACCCTAGAGTACGAACTCATGAAACCCGTCATTACTTTCTTATTTACAGTATAGGTATGTTACTTTAAACTAGGGATGCAGAACCAATGGGCATTTATACACACTTCAAACACAAGAATGACCACGTGGGACCGGTACCATATTTTTGCATTGGTGGGACACAAGAAACAACCAAAGTGCGTGCATTACTGTACATTAATTTAAGCAATGGAAATGGGATAATACACACAAGGAAAAATCACATTCACCAGATTAACGAATACAGTTCTCTTCACTTGGATATAAATGGAAGTCAATATCCTCACACAGTGAGGCGAGTACCTTATGAGCACACACCACACGTGTGGAGTCTCAGCCCTCTCTCCCACGTGAAGTGCGGGGATGCTCCCCCTCACGAAAACGCGTGGGATAACTTTTACACACACAGAATCGTACTCATTTACTAATACATACTCTCAAACACAAATGAAGCAAACTGGTATTTTAAATAAGAGAAACATTTACATTAACAACTACAAAAGTTAAACTTTATATACCAGTCATTACAGTAATACAATCTTTATATTTTTTTTTTTGTGCAACAGGAAGCTAATAATAGTCCTCCAATTCAGTGAGCTCCTGCAGTTATTGAATTAGAATTTGGTGCTGAGAAGGTTAATAAATTAACAACATATCAGTACTGAAATGTGTATATAAAATTATGTTTTGATCTTCATAATAAAAGCAGTAGTGCAAATAATATAAGTATAGCTATCTCCAGTTGCTGTTAGCAAGTAAGTGAATGGTGCCTCATTTTTTGAAATGTTTAAATATACCTTGCTGTTGTATGTTTTGTTTCGCTCGACCTTTCTGGTGGCTTATTTCTTGATTAAAGTGATCAGAAACCCCTCCCTGCTCTCCGTGTATCTCTAATGAGTCCAGGTTTTGGCCAGGGGTCCCCCAGTAGGCTTTTAATGGCTCGCAAGGACCTGCTGTGACTTAACACTTTGGCGTACCCCGCGCGCCACCCTTCAACTGTGCGATATGGGACCCAGGGTGTCACGGGAGCGCGCGTAAATTCTGAAAAGTGTATACTCTCTTCAACTTTGTCACCTTAATTCTCGTCCTACGAGATTAAATTTGGTATCATTGTGTTAGCAATAGAATTCTCTACAGCACTAAATGCATATAAACTCCAAAAGCCCGGCTAATTACCCGCAGCAAACAGAGAAAGTGCGAATGAGTTACCCAGGAGTGCGCAAACGCGATAAAATGTTTTCAATATTTTCACTCTGGTCACCTTAATTTTTGTCCTAGGTCTTTCATTTTGATCTCAATGGGTTTGCAATAGAATTTTCTAGAGGAACATTAGCATATAAAATAAAAAACCTGGTCACGCTCCAACCGCCGACGAGTTGAAGACGGGCCACGCGTTAGCCGCGAGTGAGCGCTCAGACGCCTTCCAGATACTCCCCCAATTCCCTTCCTTTTCAAGCCTTTCTTTCACAATTTTCTTCCTGGAAGGGCCTTGTTCATGATCACTATCCATCGTGGAGTAAGCGTAGATAGTTTCTAAAGCCGCAGTAAGAAATATAGCCACGGAAAATAGACGAAATGTTCACACGTTTGAGATGTGAGGGGAGGCGACATTGGTCACAACAGTGGAGCGAAAACAATGGGCCGACATCGTGTGCCAAGCCACCTGAGGGCCACGAGGCTCAACAAAGAAAATGGGAAGACATCGGCGCACATTTTAAAACCAGTCCCAAAAAAATCGGATAAAAACCTGATTTTTGGCGATTATTTAAAGTGGATGACGCAATGCTGCGTCATCCCAGGTATTACCGCCAGTAAACGGATGACGCAATGCTGCATCATGCCCGGGCGAAAGTGTTAATGCATATTTTGCTAACCAAGCAACTCGCCAGAAAGAGGCATTTCACTACATTCAATGCTGGTTTTTTGTAGTAATAACTAAATAAAAGGTATAAAACCCTTCTTTCAATACTGTACTATATTTTAGATCTACACCTAATTGTTTTACTGAAAATTCGTTTTTCTTAAATCTACTTAGAAGTGGTACCCAGAATTAACCCCTCCATTGGCCTGGCCTCTGCCCAGTTCTTTTCCTCTCTAACCTCAAAAAAAAAAAAAAGTTTAATAGTATTAGCAGCAAATATAATATAATACAGTACAGTATAGTCAAATTATGATGAAATTTATAGTGCATAACATTTTTCTGTTTCAGTGAACTACTCCTTGGCCAATATTGACAAGTCCAAGTTGCAGGAGTATGGGAGGAAGGCTGCTGTAGATGCTGCTCGCTGGAATGCTAACTTCAACAAGGAAAAGAAAGAGGAACGAAGGTAGAGTTTAGACAGATTTTGGCATACCATTTTGAATTACTATCCAAGAAGAAAAAAGTGGGTGCAAACAGTGGGCTCGGGAGATGTGAAAACTAGTCCGATGCACAGTTTAATTAGGTTTATTTAACCAAAAATATTGTAAACAAAAGATTTTTCGATCATTTGCAGACAAGTTGTTGAATTGATAAGGAATGTATATTAGTGTAGATTGCTAAAACATTAAGTGACTTAATTTTGTTGAAAAAAAATGAAGACCGACCCCAATTAATAACTTAAGGTTTGATTTTGTTAATGTGTGTGATAAGAGAGTTAATTTATATCTGACCTCTGCAGGTACAGCTTTGACCTGCAGACTTTCACCCTGCAGCTCCCTATTGGCCGTGGGAAGAAGCTGCCCTCTGAATTAACCAAAATAGGCTGTTATCCAGTTGCAGTTCTACCTGGACAATTCACAGATTGCTATAGACAGTAAGTGTTCTGACCTGCCTGCATTGTGTGCATATGTATATTATGAGGTGGGCTCATGCCTCACCTCAATGTTCCCCAGATCTAATGCCCTGGGACCTCAATGCTAAACCCAACAAAACAGGTTCTCTGACTATATTGTATCCTACTGGAGGCTGGTATTAAAATCCTGCTTCTTCAAAAAGGCAGTGGTGCTGAAAGAGTTGGAAGACTCTATACACTGAAGAAACTCTGGCAAAATGGCTGAAAACAGGTCACAAAAATTTAAAGTGCTTGAAGAGAACTGTTTGGCATGAATAAATATGAAACAAAAACTCCAAACTTAAACAATAAAATACTGTTTTCTCTCTTCTTGGGATGGGATGGGGGAAAGGAATGATGCTCAACCACTTGGGCTGGACGGTAGAGCGACAGTCTCGTTTCATGCAGGTCAACCACTTGGGCTGGACGGTAGAGCGACAGTCTCGTTTCATGCAGGTCGGCATTCAATCTCCAACTGTCCAAGTGGTTGGGCACCATTCCTTTTCCCCGTCTGCTGTTTATCAAAGGTAGTTCCGACTCTTGTCCCAGGTAGGCCAAACAGAACTAGCCACGGCTGATGTGATCTTTTAATATGAAGCAATCTAGAAGATAGCCGAAGGGATCCACAAGGGGTTCCCTTCAGAAAAATCCTGCTTGCTTGGTATTCAGTACAATTAAGACTTTTATGGGTGTATTTCACCACTTTAATTAGCAAATTTCTACTTGAAATTCATCTTGATGTATCCTTCTGCATTTCCTGCTAATAGTAACCTTCACTGATACATTACATGCATTTTGAGCTGAAATAATGGAAGAAGATTTAATGTTTTCAATGAAATATATATTATGAGTAAAAAAAAGTTGAATTATTTCTGCCAGTGCCGAAAACAAAACTCAGACGGTGGCGCTTTGGATGGCATGTTGAAAAAATATGACCTTATGCCACAGAGAGACTGGGAAGGCATGTTTTAACTATATAAAAAAAGTTAGCTTGTCCTAATTGAAAGCGGTAGATACAAATGCAGTGTTGTATAGGTTTCAACTTTTTTATTAATATAAATAATTTGTTTAATATACAGTATTATAGTTTACTAAAAATAAATGGTGAAAAAACTTTTGTTGTTGTTGTTATAGATTCAGCTACTCGGAACAAGTTCCAAGTAGCACGGGCTATGGTGAGCCCGTAAGTTACCTGGCACAAGAGCAGGGCAAGTAGCACGGGCTATGGTGAGCCCGTAAGTTACCTGGCACAGGAAAAGGGCAAGTAGCACGGGCTATGGTGAGTCCGTAGTGGACTTACCTGGCACAGGAGCGGTGCTGTGTGTGCCGAAAAAACTTAAATCTGTCTTTCCAGTGAACAGCATCTGGTCCTAATTTATCTGTTGGAGAGAGACTGCTATACTTCGATTTCTGTGCATCTTGTGTTCAGTTTATATTCTTTATTTGCAGGTACTCATCATTGGCCTTAAAAACTATGCCCTTGGGCACAGTTGTTGCAGCTCCCATTACCCAGGATCAACTAGGCCTGGATGGAGCAAGCTCCGATTCAGAAGAGGAGGCCACGAGGTTTGTGGATATTTTTTCTTTTTATAGAATTTATCTATAGTTCAGAGTAGTATATTTATTCATTTAAATACTCCAAAAAATACTGAGTAGATTCTTACCACATGTAAAATATGTTTCAAGATTTTGAGAGAATTACATCTCTGAAGGAAAGTTAATTTGGTCTCTTGAATATTATAATATTGTTTTGCGACGGTGAGTGTGGTACAGCTGTGAGTGTTGTGCAGGTGTGTGTGTGTGTGTTTTGCAGCTGTAAGTCTTGTGCAGCTGTGAGTATTGTGCAGCTGTGAGTATTGTGCAGCTGTAAGTCTTGTGCTTTCATTTGTATTGCCTTGATACAGTATGTGAAAATATAAGTGTTATGTTTCTGTAGGTTAGGCACTGACGTTGCCAGTGATACGAAGGATGAGAAACCAGCAGAAGGAGTCCCACGGTGTAAGGTGTGCAGTGGGACAAAGCATCGTAATAAGGGTGGCAAGCCTGAACCTCTCATCATTTGTGGAAATTGCCGATCAGCAAGTAAGTCTAGTTATAGTATGCTATTGTACAAAATTATAGTTTTAATAATAGTCACCCCGGCCCAGGGTGACTCTGACTGGTCAAGGGATTATGTAGGAGCCTGAACTTTGCCTGCATTGTCTTTTCTCGGGATAGGGGGTTTGGCTCTGGGAGTTGTATCAGTTTCCCCGGTTTCACTCATTTTGGCATTCCAAGAACCGGCCGGTTTGTGCCCCACCTGCCCTTAGTCGGCTCTTGCTTCACTGGTTTCCCTTCGGGTTTTAGTTTTGTGAGAGGTTGATTGGGGAACTACAATTATGAAGTTGATTGGGGAAGTACCTTGCCATTGAGGTCTGTTCATTGTGTACACCAGAAAGGATGTTCTGGACTTTATTCATAGTTTGAAGAACATAATTTGCAATTGGACAGTGATAACACATTAATAGATTAGGCATGCAAAGATTTACCGAAGCAAACTGCAACTTCTCCTCCTTCCTGTCTGTCTCTGTGTGAATGCAAAGTGCTGCCACCTGGTAGTTGCATGGAATACATGGCTGAATGAGCCAAGTAGTAGTTATAGTGATCCTTGGCTATTATAGGCTAGGACTTGCAAAGGTCTTGGGCTTTCTGGTGCTAGATGATCCCCAGCACTCCCTAGCACCAGTATACACCTACAGGGGAATTTGAATGGATCCTTATGAGTGCAGACCTGCCTTACTATGTGCTTTGCTTTCTCATTTGCTGATGGAATCTTACCTTAGGAGGCAGCCAAGTAAATCTGCTCAGAATAAAACTTTTTGTATACAGTACACTCAATAATGATTTATTTTCAGGCCACCCTACATGCATTGAGTTGACCCTGGTTATGGTGCCAAAGATAGAATCTTACAACTGGCAGTGTATGGATTGCAAGTCTTGTGTCACCTGTAATGACCCTGATGATGAAGACAAGATGATATTCTGTGACATGTGCGATCGAGGGTGAGTTCACGTTGTCGGAAAACTTGTTGCTTGTGGAGCTTTGTAGGCCAGTTTATGATTGGTGTAGCATAATCTGCTAGATAGAGGTGTCCTCTCAGCCAACCAACACGTCTGTTTCATTGATGTTTGTTCCCATTATACGGTACATAATAAGATTGTTTATTGTGTTAGTGAGAGCTCAGTGAGGTGACTTGAGATCTGAGTGTGAATAAGACTATCAATCTAAAAAGTTTGTATAATTTGAGTAAATAGAGAGAGAGAGAGAGAGATAAAGAGCTTGTAGAACTGCTGGCATCCTTGTTTATAGTCTGGACATGGAAATTTTGTTGGTTTAAATAAATATTTCCCTTTCTCTTGCTGTTAACACATTACATTGTTGCATGTATAATTGTTATCAATTTTTAATTGTATAGGTATCACATCTATTGTGTTGGGTTGCGGCGTGTACCAAATGGCCGCTGGCATTGTAAAGAGTGTGCCATGTGCTCTTCCTGTGGCTCTAAGACTCCAGCTGGCATTGAACACTTGAAAAATGCAGAATGGCAGCACGAGGTAAGAATTTCACAACTGACATTTTCTATATTTACTTTAGCTATGCAAATATGCACCATACGAGTTTACTCTTAGTATTTCTTAAATGGACTGGTCAACCAGGCTGTAGGGCGCAGCTGTTCATAACCTGACATATGAATCACAGCCTGGTTGATCAGGTATCTTTTAGACAGTGTTTAGTCATCCTTTAGAGGTATTTATAGAGTTCTCTCTTGAACACTGTGAAGGGCCGGCCAGTTATGCCCCCTTAAGTGTAGTGGAAGCGTGTTGAACAATCTTCGGGCCTCTGATGTTGATAGAGTTCTCTCACATAACTCGAGAGTTGGAGAGCTTCACGCTCTTCTCAGGATGTAGGTACCCATCCTGTCTTCTTAAAATAACATCGCTTTTTGCCTGTATGCGCGCTGTGGCCAACAATGGACGTACTGTAATTTGATGTGAAATCGGCTAACGAAAGTGATGTACTGTCCCGTTTTCTTTGAGTCCTACAACTTACTTGGTTAGGTTAGGAAAGGAAACTTTCAATTAATGGTTTTCATGACGTTTTGAAACTTTAGGAGAACATCTTGCCCGCCTAACCTACCAGAGGACCCTTAACTTGCTGTTTTGGAAAAGAAAATCCAAAATTTATTTTCAAATTACGTCCATTTTCGGCCATACATACAAACGGCCAAATTCAGACGTAATTTGTAAGAGGACCGGTTGAGGTACCTTGTCCTAGTTCTCATTTTCTTTAGCTTCAGACCTTTCTTGCATTTTAAGCAAAAAATGAGATGTCCTGACTCAGTGAAGTCCTTTAGTGATAACACTTTTTTGTTTTGCTAGAGGTTCCTAATATTCATTGTTGTGATTCCACAATGAAGCATTATTTGTGCGCCACCCTGGTTGTGTGGGTGAATACTCTGCTTGTTAGCGCAGTTTCTCTAGTTCCTTGTACGTAAGCTCGTCCGTCCCATGTTATTAAAAAAAATCAGCCCGAGGTTTATCCCATTTTAGTGATGTTCATAAGTTTGCAGCCTTGTTGGCCTTCTTTATCAATATGACTGTAAAAGTCGATAATTTCACCACTAACTTTTACATTTCAGTTTAAAAAGGACAAGGATAACAAGCAGCTGAGATATGCAACTACACTTTGTGTCCCTTGTGATAAATATTGGAAGAGGAGACAGTTCTGCTATGTGTGCTTAAGGGTTTATAGAAGCATTCCAGAAGATGGGATGGTACGCTGCTCCAACTGTCCGAAGTACATTCATCGGGAAGGTAAGTCTTCCTCCCTCGGGATATTTTGTTCCATTGTTTACAAATATACACTGGGAGTGATATTGTGCTAGCCTTTTGACAGTGTACGGCAGAATAACTTATTTTTATTCAACAGTTCATGTTAACCACCCTACTGATGGAAATAGAGTAAAAATGATTCAAAAGATACTGAATAAGACCATGTAATAACCTTTGCAGTGAGAACACCGATTTTAAGGAATGTTCCAATGCCCGGCTAGGTGGAGAAAGATCATAGGTTTCATATAGCGTATCTAGTCACTTTCTTGGAGATTAAAATTAATTGTAGCAATTTCCCTTTCAGGTTGCTCTACAATATACGAAAATGAACGTTTCTGCATCAACTGTTTCAAAATGCGTAATTCTACTGCCCTAAACCACTCGCGTATCATAGCGGCAGCAAAAAAGAAAATGGCTTCAGGCTATTGATGTGAAAATATTTGTAAATCTTATGGTTTCTCATGTGTCTTAGGTGTTAAAAGCAAATTTGTAAGAATAACTCACAATGTGGGGCGGGGGGAGAAATCAGTGAGAAGTAGTATGCAGAAAATTATTTAGTTTTAAATGTTTCTTTTTCATTATTTGTAAATACAGATTTTCTGTATAGTCCTTCTGTAGAGGTAAAACTTTAACCCATTGTTCTCAAAGAGTTATAAAGTAACTCCAGCAATACTTCAACATTATATACCCCTTACACCCCATCATTTAGTTTTCTTCTGATATGAATTTTGTTTATCTACATTTTATGAAAACATTCAAGTTATAATTTGATCTATTATATTTATAAATAAATACAAATTACACATTTTTATATCTTTTGTGCCTTGCTTCCTTTTGAGAACTTCCATTCCTGAGGAGTGGACAGGTGGACATTTGTATGTAATTTTTCTTGGACATTTCCAACACCTCCAAGTGTTAAAAGGAGCTTTTAAAGTAACTGACTTTAAAAAAAAATTTGTTTTAAAGTTTTTAAAATTTTACTCCAAGAGCAAAATTAGGAGTTTTCTACATGGAAAAAGTGAAGCAGTTGTCTTTAAACAAGAATCCGAGGAAATATTCAGAATTAACTTCTCAAAGACACATAAAAGGAAAGGTGAACAAACGTAGATCATCACATGGCAGAGTGCAGGTGTAGGTCACGAAGACCACTAGAGTGAACATTCTCTCCTCAGTAATCCTCCCATAGGCATTATGGAAGACTTTAAGACTTCAACTGGTCTTTTTCCTGCAAAATACTTTATTATGAGGGTGAGCATAAAGCTCTGTATTGGAATGAATAGTTATTTAGTGCTGCTTAACAGTTATATTGTGTAAACTACAGTGCCATAAAATCATAATATGTTGCATGGAATCTTTGTGTTACACAGCAGTTTATTGTCATATATACCCAGTTTTTTGTTTTTACAGGGTGGGGAGGCATAAAAAAAATCTAGAAAAATTAGTAATTAACCTTCAATTGCCCAGCATGGATAGGGATAATCTCGCTAATTACCCATAAACTGGGCAACACGGTTGGAGAAGTTTTAAAGTACTGTAAGATTAAAAACTACCGTGTGTACACAGGGTTCACACTGCCTTCCTCAGCCCTCCTGTAAACAGATGCTATTTTGGAAAAAAAAAAGTGTGGGCAACCCCTCTGGCTGTGAGGGGCTTCCCTACTGAGAGAGGCACTATAAGTAACACATGCAGCAACAGCTCACAGCACTGCCAGGCAGCTCATGCCCATAGCATCATTTAATATTGATCAAATAAATAGTAACTGCGATTATTTAATGATGATTGTGTCTGAAGATCCCGACTGTGATAAAAAAAAAACTATGTACAAGTTCAGATATCGGTGAACTCGATGCTGACTACGATGTTCACAGTACAAGGTAGATAGCCATGATTTGGTGCATCTATGCATTATGAAACGGGACCTCATTTTCCTTTATAAAATAAACTTGTGAGAAATTGTTTGGTATTCAGGATTTAGTGATGAGAATTCTGGTAATAATGGCATTGTTGTGGCTAGAGTTAGCAACGTGTGTAGTACACTGGGAGGCATTTTGCTGTGTCTGCAGGGACCTCACAACTAAGTGGACAGCACTTGAGATTCGTAGTCCTATGGTTCCGGGTTCGATCCCCAGTGGAGGCAGAAACAAATTGGCAGATTTTCTTTCACCCTGATGTTCCTATTAACCTAGCAGTAAATAGGTACCTGGGAGTTAAGACAGCTGCTACGGGCTATTTCCTGGGGGTATGTAACAAAAAGGAGGCATGGCCGAGGACCGGGCCGCAGGGACGCTAAGCCCCAAAATCACCTCAAGATAACCTTAAGACATAACCATTAAGTGCCGTCGGCAACTGGCCAGCATGTGAAGCTATGCTGTGCTTTGATTATGAGATTACCAAACTCAACAGAACTGCTTAGTAATTCGTTATGGTGCATAAAATTGTAGTTATATAATGTATGTCTACAGTGTAAAAATAGCAAAATGGTGTGTTTTGTTGTTCTAGGAATATTATACAATGCATACATGAGTAACATGAATATATCTGTGCATACCTATTTCCTACATGTTCTGTGATCCTAACAACATTACTGACAGCCCAGTACATCATTGCTCTTGAAACAACCATGATAGAAATATTAAAAATACAAAAATATAATTTACTCAATGAGTGCAGATCATGCAAAATATGCAAGGTCAGGCTACAAGATTATTACTCCCACGAGAACTGGTTTGTAATTGTGCACACAAATGTTTGTTTGTTTGTTTGTTTATATATATATATATGTGGTACCTAGTAGCCAGAACGCACTTCTCTGCCTACTATGCAAGGCCTGATTTGCCTAATAAGCCAAGTTTTCCTGAATTAATATATTTTCTCAAATTTTTTTCTTATGAAATGATAAAGCTACCCATTTCATTATGTATGAGGTCAATTTTTTTTTGTTGGAGTTAAAATTAACGTAGATATATGACCGAACCTAACCAACCCTACCTAACCTAACCTATCTTTATAGGTTAGGTTAGGTTAGGTAGCCCAAAAAGTTAGGTTAGGTTAGGTAGTCGAAAAACAATTAATTCATGAAAACTTGGCTTATTAGGCAAATCGGGCCTTGCATAGTAGGCAGAGAAGTGCGTTCTGGCTACTAGGTACGACATTATATATATATATATATATATATATATATACAGTATATATATATATATATATATATATATATATATAATTTTATTTATTGTAATAACATCAAAAACTGAATGTTTTATTGTTCTAACAACAAATAAGATGTGCATATTAATGGCATAAATATATTTGAGCATTCTGATGTTCTATACATTTTATGTATAGAACAATGTATAGAACTATAAATAAATTGCTAAACTGACACACTATTGAATAATATTAGTACTTCATAAACCAGAGAAAAAGCAAATCAGACATTGAAATATATATGTAAAAATATCTTGGTGGCAACTCCCATCTGGTCCAGAGTGACTTCCAAGAGGCAATTGCACCATTAATTAATGCTCAAGAATCATGACGTCATCTTGAAATTTCCTGTCTTCACCATGACCAAAAGTCACAAATTATTATTTTTTCCCCTATGTACCAATGAACTGTCTCCTATAAACGAGGGGTGCAGCCCAAGGGTTAATAAAGCTTATAGATAGTAAATAAGAAAAAAACATCACCCAGTCATTCATCGTATCATTCACAAATACAATACATATATCGCATTGCATAAACAAGCACTATCACGTCCTAGCAGTCAATCCCAGCAGTACCCCACCACTTATATAAAAAATACAAATACAAATATTTATTTAGGTAAAGTACATACAAGGTGAGATACAAAAGTTGATGGATTTATAGATAGAGCTAGTACATACAATGCCTAAAGCCACTATTCCACAAAGCATTTTGGGCAGGAAAGATCAGGTGTACAGTGCTGCTTGTAGGTTGTCAGAATCATCATCAATAAAATACTACTACCTGGTTGGAGGTTAATTACAACAGCCTTTTTCCCTTGCTGTGCCCTTTGTGTTGTCCACACTTACCATCAATAACAATGTACAACCACATTTTAAACCTTTTCTTTTTCCTCCAACTCTTAAATTCACCATTCTGTAATCATTAATTTTATCAAGGAACTTGGGTTCAATCCCAATGGGGGAACAGAAATGGTTGAGCATATTTTTTCACCTGATGTCTTTGTTCACCAAGCAATTAAATAGGTACTATGGAATTTTACATTGTTGGTTGCATCCTGGGAAGGATTCGGTTTGGCCTAGGTTGACCTCATTAAGACTTCAGCACAGACTTCCTAACACCAACAATAGGAATTAACAGCGCACGTGCTTTTCAGATCGTTCACTTCTACTGCTCAAACATTTGATTTTTCACAATCATATCACATCATTGTCTTCTAACCATACATAAGTCAGGGCACTGTCACTATCAAGCAGGTATACTTTGTGCAGGCCTCTGGCTGTGTGTTCCTATCTTCTTTCCTAACCTAGGCTTTCATTTTATCAGTCACTTTCCTTCCCTGGCTCACCCTACTCTGATTTCACAAACACTTTTTTTTTTAATATTTTTTTGGTCACTCACACATCCCAAGCAATGTTATGCTTGGGCTGTATAATGTTATAACTTTTGGATCAAATTATCATAAATCGAGCCTGCCCCCTGGCTGGTCTTGGAGAGTAGAACTCCCATAACTCACTCCGGGTATACTCTAGTAGCCACCAATAGCGCTTCAGCAATCACATTTATTTTGCATGCAGAATGTCCTCTCTTCACCTTTACTTTTGTTCACATTCACAATAATCATAGATTTTTACCTCATGCATATACCTCACAAAAATTATTTAAACTTTAATGGTTTTGATGTATATACAGTACAGTGCTGACATTCACTGTCAAGTGTCTACAAACTCTGTAATCACAAATAATTCTCACAAATTATGGTTACTATACACACACAGAAATCACAATAACGTGATATCAAATGAACATCCCGTGCGTATGTTCAATCCCTCATCACGGCCCTTGTGGAGTTGTTCACATGGTTATTATCCAACAGGAATGACGTGGTAATACCAAGGCAAATTTTTGTCTTTTGCATAAGTATGTAAATATTTGGGTTATAAAATTAGTTTTTGTATAATATACAGTATGTCATATTTTACAAATCTATTACAGATATTTGTTTTAATAATATACGTTTATAAATGTATATACGTAATATACATTTAATATTAAATGTATATTATTTAATGCCCTAGGTGGTGAGATAAGCAGATTCCAAAAATAGTCTACAATGATTAAACCTACAACACTCCATAATGTCATAAAAAACATTATATTCAAATCACACACAAGGAATAAAGAACTGCTTATTTTATGAAAACTGAACAAAAATTATGCTTTTTATAGTTTAATTCTTATCATCATTTTTGTGTTATGAGTGAATAATATTGATCAGTAAAATATTTACCTGGTGCATGCTTGGATACAGTTGTGAAATAAAATTTGCAATATTTGTCACTATACTTACATTATCCCTATAAATACTGTATGAACTAATTGGTTAAGTTGGTTGTCGAGTAAGGCAGACGGTGACCTCCAGGATCAGGTGTCGACTAGATATGAGGGGTAATATACCAATAATCTTGGACTGTGTACTGGATTAAATGCCTCTAGAGTTGAGAAATATGGGCCAAGCTTGATAATGAGCTCATACTGCATCTATATATTTCATTATTACATCACCATCATGTCAGCTTATCTTCTACACAAAGAAAAATCACATGTGAAGAATCTTCCCCAAGAACTTCTGATTTAGATAATTATTTCATACTGCTTATTAATAATTATATTATTATGAAGCAGTATATCTAAAAGTATTTAGTTTCATATTTTATGAATATAAAACAGCTTAAAAAAATCTCATGGAACTACAGTACTATAAAACCTAGATGCTTCAGTGAGCATTAGTATAGTAGAAGTCTTAGTCGTTGATATGTACTTTTGTACTTTTTAATCTTTGTTTAAATTTAGAAAATACCACATTCAATATTGTAATATTGTATTTGAATTTAGTTTATTACAACTCTCCAAAATTTAGATTGAATTGTTCTGAATCTGATCCAGATTCCTATAAAACTGAATTTCTGAATAATTGTGTTTCACTTACCTTTTCTGCTAATGCAGACAGCAAAATGTAGTTACAGCACTGTCATTTCTTCCTAATACTATCATACATACTATCATACTATCTGTCATACTATCTGTTGTTAAACATCTGCAGCCACTGGCCTTGTTAATCTAACTCCAGTATTGTACTCGTTTTTTACACTTAAAAATAATGAAAACAATAGACGCCTGAACATGTCAAGTGAACTGATATTGGGTACATAAGTGTGTTGAAACAAAGTCAATTTATGATGAGATACCAAACTGAGGTGGAAGGATGGAGCAAATGATTGAGAGGACGTCAACAGAGATCTCCAGATACTGTGATAATAAGGAATAACAAACAGATGGATAAATATCTATATTTTATATTATGGATTATATTTCCAGCATTTACGTACTGTACACTGCAACCAAAATACTGTTCTACAGTTTCCTTATTGTCATATCTTCTGTATTTTGGGAAAATGAATTTATTATTAAGTTGCATTTTACTTTCTGCAGTTCATATCGTGTAGTTAATACCTGCATAATACAAATCAAAATATCAGTACAGTATTACGGAATTTGTAAAAAAAAAAAAAAATGTATGTATTAATACCGGATAATTAAAAACATTCAGTGTATTACATTTTTAGTAACTAAGGATGGAATGCTTTTCAATTTGAAATTGATTACAGGTGATATTAAAAAAAAAAAGTTAATGAACAAAAAATCAATCTTTAAAACTATCTCATCATTCTAATTTCTAACTGAACACAATCTTGTGATTGGCTGTCTGGGTAAGCAAGCTCCCATAATTGTCGAAATATGGGTATCTGTTCGCTAGGAGAAACAAGATCAATTAATTTTTCGTAAGGAAGAACTAATGCTGCCTCAGCCTTCAGTACACTACTGTTTTCAGTAGTAATTCGTGTTCGAACCATCTCAAATAGTTTTCCCCAGTCTGCAGAACTAGCTGGTAACACTGCCTGCAATGATGACTCTACTGCCACTTCCACTGCGTCATTCTTATCATTATCTTCACCTTCCTCATCGTCTCTATAACTACTGTGTTCCACTCGGCCACCAGCAAAAATAGGGAGATTATCCAGGTGTGTCACCACTGATCCTGCTAAAACCTCATGACCCATATCAAACTGTCCGTCTAGAACCATTTCTACATGTGATGAAAACAGATCTTCTGTCGCCATGAGGTTATTAGCCGCATTAACTGAAGCAAGCGGGTCTTCATCCTCATTTGTTGCAGTGTGGCTCTCTGAGTTTCTTTTCAGTCTTTGAAAAGCATTTTTTACTTTAGCACTCTTGGCACTGGGACGATATTCTTTTCCCGCTATTCTGGCTAATTTTTCTAACTTCTGACGATGAAGCATCTTGTCATTACCCTTTAAATCCTGAAACTGGGTACTTCTGTTGCGTTTATTTCTCTGTAAAATATGATCTAATATCTCTTCTTTACCATTCTGCATTTCATTAATAGGGTGTGTGTGTTCAAAATAATATACAACACTTATTTTTCCTGTATAGTCACAAGTTTCTTCATTAAAATCTTGATACACTTTCATTCTTGCAAAACAAAGACAAGGTTGTATTTTGTGAATCCAATTATGTCTATCAGAGTATTCCCGCTTAGCAGTTTTCCTGGCAGCAGCTGTACGGAGATGGTGGAATCTATGACAGACTAATAACCGTTCAGTTCGGTGAGGCTTCCGTCTCTTTACGTCACAAGTGAATCGCACTTTGTTCTTTTCTTCTTCCTCTGCTAACCAGTCTGTAAACATTCTTTCATCATCAAATTCTACATTTTTGCTTGCCATTGAAAACTTGTGAGCAATTTGCCAATGTCTCTGTAGTTCAGTAAGCTTAAAGAATGATGAATCACATTGTTTAAAGTGACAAGAAAACATTCTAGGCAATTTAAATTTTTTGTTTTTGCACTCTCTGTTTCTGACGTGTGTATGGAAACTTAATTCTGACAGAAAGTGTCGTTTACAAAGACTACATTTGTATTCAAGCTTTCCCTTTTCAACCTTAATACCTACACTGTATTTTGTTCTTCTGTGAGGAATGATTTCCCAGTCTTCGTCATCATTTTTAACATTCATTTTTTCCATTATCTCCTCCTCAAAATCAAGTGGTTCATTCTTAATTTTAATGTCGGTAAGTTCTCTACTTGTGGCATGCTGTTTGCTCATGTGTGCTGTAAGCAAATCTTTGTTAAGCAAGTGCTCATGACAAATTCTACACTTAAGCTGTTTTCCAGTTTTCGTCTCTTTCTTCATGGTTTGAGGCCCTCCATCACACATTTTTTGTGATGCCTTACATGCAGTTCCATCTTCTATGACATACAGTACTGCTTCACTGCTCCCTCCGGTCCCTCCTTCTGATACTCTGCATTCTTCCATAGTAATACTAGTGGAGGTGTCTTCAAATTTCCCTCTTGATACTGAAGAATCCTTGCTATCACAATCCAGAAATTCTTGGGGTTCCTCCACATTTTTTGTCGGAGTAATAAGTAGAGAGAGATCTTGCAGTCCTTCTGTTTTACCAATGTGTGGCTTCATAGTAACTGTCACTAAGGGTGGTTGTGTCGACTGCTGAGGCACGGCCATATGTTCTGGTTGTGGCTCAGAGCTAGGAACTGGGCCTCTGATTATACTAATTCCTTCCTCAGTATGATGTCTCTCAATGTGCTTAATAAGCCGATCTTCATTTTTGAATATAGCTCCGCAATCATCACCGGGACATTCATACAACATTGGTAAGCTAATTGAATTTGAGTCTAGTGAAGATAAACTTATATTTGCTTCTTCATGATCATTCACATCCATTTTGTCTAGTGTTCTCTTCTCACAAAAGGCTTGATGAATTGCAGCACCACGACGGTCTTTGCATTTCTGTCCACAGTACTGACAAGTGACTGGTTGCTTTTTTGACTTATCACCCACAGCAATACATTGATGACCTTGTAAACTAGCGTGTGTCGCAAACAGCTTGTCACAGCCTGAACAGTTTAACGGCTGTTTTGTACTGGTGATAACGCAAATATCCTCTTGTTCATCTAATACAACAAGTTCTTTCTCCTCAGTCTCAGAAGCAATATGCTTAATAGTTTCTGTAACCTTTGAGCGTCTAGCTCTCTGTCTGGCAATGCTGTGAGCATCACCAAAGTGTTGCACAAGTTTGGCTTTTGATGTGAACACTTCCTGGCAGAGAGCGCACTTGGCCATGGTACCAACCCCACACAACACCTAAGAAGAGAAAAATGTACTGTTTGAAGACAAAGTACACAACATCTGAGGGAAAATATATATTATTCAGATTCAATGATGCAATACTGATATGTTATGTACAATAAAATTAGACATAATTGAATTACATACAGTAAAGCAAAAAAAAAAGCACATCTAGTTTCCTGAGTAATCAAGAATTACAATACTGTACTAAAATATGTACAATTATTATGATTAGAATTATTTTATATACAGTATATAAAATATATATATACAAATATAAAAAAAACATATCATGCATATAGGGGAGTACCATCTATGGTTGTGTTTGTAGGGACCCTTCGCCGCAAAGAAGACGATATGTAGCATTTGGGGGAGCTTTATGGGTCTAGAACATACACTTACATATTGTCTTCTACCACCCTATATATTTGTAACTTGTAATTTTATTTTATTTTAAAGTTCATTACACAAAATAGGTTACATGCAAGGTTAGTTGTCACAGGTTGTAGAGTTCCCTTAGCTTTTCAGATGGCGGGCAGGAACCCTGAATGCCGAGTGCATTTTCTCTCTGTATCGCCACACTGAGGTGCTGGAAGAGGAAGTTGGTGGCTTTAGGGGTTTCTTGTTGTTTCAGTTAGCTTAGAACCCAGCTCCTCCAGAAAATTGGTGGCATTTTTACCCCAAGCACCAAGTGTCTTATTTATATTGATATATTGTACTGTATTTAAATAAATATATATTTACACCATTGGAGCCTCGAACCGCAGACCTGGTTGATACCTGGTTGATGGGGTTCTGGGAGTTCTTCTACTCCCCAAGGCCGGCCCGAGGTCAGGCTTGACTTGTGAGAGTTTGGTCCACCAGGCTGGTGCTTGGAGCGGCCCGCAGGCCCACATACCCACCACAGCCCAGTTGGTCCGGAACGTCTTTTAGAAAACAGTCTAGTTTTCTCTTGAAGATGTCCATGGTTGTTCCGGCAATATTTCTTATAGTCGCTGGGAGGACGTTGAATAGCCGCGGACCTCTGACGTTTATAGTGTTCTCTGATTGTGCCTATGGCACCTCTGCTCTTCACTGGTTCTATTCTGCATTTTCTTCCACAAAAGCAGCACCCACAACTCTACCTAGTGAGTCACCAACACCCATTGTATAATACAGTAATAATAATAATATTTATTATTATTATTATTATTATTATTATTATTATTATTATTATTATTACACACACGTATGCACACACACACACATCTACAAATTAGTGTAGTGAAAAATCTTTAACAAAATTCTGATAGAGATCTAAGGGTGGTTTTAGATAGAAAACTATTACCCGAGGACCACGTAAAAAACATCTTGCGATGAGCTTATGCTACACTTTCCAATTTCAAAATTGATTTTAAATACATGGATGGTTAAATACTAAAGAAACTGTTCATGAGGAATCGTTCACAGGAACTGATGAAATTGATAGGGAAGAATTCCCGAGACAAGAGGTCATAGATTTAAACCTCTAGAACAAGGGGTCATCGATTTAAACTAAATAAACAAAGCTGTCAAAGAAATATAAGAAAATCCACTTTTGCAAACAGAGTGGTAGATGGTTGGAACAAGTTTGGTGAGAAGGTGGCGGAGGCCGAAACCGTCATTAGTTTCAAAGCGTTATATGACAGAGTGCTGGGAAGACGGGACACCACAAGCATAGCTATCATCCTGTAACTACACTTAGGTAATTACACACCAAGAGCTGTGTGTATGCATGTGTCTCAAAGAGCTAATACCTCGAACAAATCCACAAGGGCCGTGACGAGGATTCGAACCTGCGTCCGAGAGCATCCCAGACGCTGCCTTAATCGACTGAGCTACGACATGGTCAAATTGACCATGTCGTAGCTCAGTCGATTAAGGCAGAGTCTGGGATGCTCTCGGATGCAGGTTCGAATCCTCGTCACGGCCTTTGTGGATTTGTTCATTTAATGCATCACGCAATTGTGATTTGTTTGTGTAGCTAATACCTTGATTCTGCAGGCACAAACAGTAAACACATATATAAAACAAGAAAGTACTTAAGCTCGTTTGTGTTAACACAAAAGTAGAGATATAGCGGCCCTCAGGTACAGGACTCCTTTCCTGACATAACATGAGGTAGACCCCATCTGAGGAAACGACATTCTAGATCTTGTACTAACATCGGAAGAGGGCATGACTGATCAAAAATTCAGAAATTCAAAGCAAAACTTTTTGCCCAAAATGCTATACATATTAGTGGCTTTAGGTATTGTATGTACTAGCTCTATCTATAAATCCAACATTATGTTTGTAACTCTTCATCTATGTATGTACTTTTACCTGAATACAAATTTGAATTGAATTTAAATTTGAGGTAGGGAAAAAGCTCACCCCTTTGTGTGATCACAATATTCTAAGATTAATTATATTTATAGAAATCTATGCAAAGGTCTAGGATCATGACTTTCTGGATTACGCTTGAGGTGATTATCAAGGAATGAGAGACGGATTGCAAAACACCTTACAGTAGATTGATGCAGAAAAGGACCTTGAAGTCAGAAGTAGGAGCAGCACTAACCAAACCCTAGGAATAGTCAAGCGAACATTTGACCTAAAGGAAAAGAAGTTTGTTATTCACAACTATATAAATTTCTGGTCTGCCCCCACTTGGATTATTGTATGCAAGCATGAAGACCTCACCTTCAGAAATACATAGCTTCTTTGGAGAAAGTTCAACACTGGGCAACAAAAATCATTCCAGAACTAAGTCGACTCTCAGACCAGGAACGATTGAGGGCCACAGGACTAACAACACTGCAAACCAAACACATACGGACTGATCTCATTCAAAAATTTAAAATACTGAACAATTTGGAGGTTATTGATCTTAAAAAAATCTTCAAAACATCAGATGTAACACAAACAAGGAGCAACGATTTCAAGCTCATCAAGCAACAATGTAGGACAGAAAACAGGAGATGCTTTTTCACCCAAAGGTTATAAACCTATGGATCCATCTACCCGCTGAAGCAGTAAATGACAAAACACTATTGAATTTTAAAATCAAACTCAATAAAATTATCAGGACAAATGGTAGAGACCATTGACAAGCCGCTAGCTTCCTGTCCTCATTGAGGCCAGTAGCGAGATAGTGGTCCTAAGGTAAATTCGGGTATCACACACTAGAGTTTGCCAGCAAATTTAAAACCTACCTAACCTTACCCAACCAAACCTAACTTAACCCAAACAACCTAACCTGACAGAACAAAGTCTAAAACAGCCTAATCTAATACTTCATAACCTAACAATATAACAAGTCTTGACAGAAAACTGTTATTGAATAGTCTTTTGTACACTTTGACTATGCCCCACCCACATAGCCAAAAGTTATGCCATGTCTTCACTTTTTCAAAAAAATATTAAAATGTTTATTCAGGTAAAGTACATACATACAAGGTGAGATATAAACATTGATGGATTTATAGATAGAGCTAGTACATACAAAGCCTAAAGCCTCTATTGCGCAAAGCATTTCGGGCAGTTTTTTATGTACCAACTTGATCCTAAATAAAATTATAATTTGTGTTCTACATTTATTTAGCATATAAGGGATGCCATCGTTGTGACGTCCTAAGCTTGAACTCTGTGGACCTTTATTGAACACTGCTGGACCCCAGCAGTGGACGCCTTGCTGGACCCCAGCAGTGGACACCTTGCTGGACCCCAGCAGTGGACCCCTTGCTGGACCCCAGCAGTGAACCCCTTGCTGGACCCCAGCAGTGGACACCTTGCTGGGCCCCAACAGTGGACCCCTTGCTGGACCCCAGCAGTGGATGCCTTGCTGGACCCCAACAGTGGACCCCTTGCTGGACCCCAGCAGTAGACCCCTTGCTGGACCCCAGCAGTGGACCCCTTGCTGGACCCTTTGCTGGACCCCAGCAGTGGACCCCTTGCTGGACCCCAGCAGTGGACCCCTTGCTGGACCCCAGCAGTGGACCCTTTGCTGGACCCCAAGGCTACTTCTGTACACAATTATTTAGGTTAGTTAAATTAATTTATTATGCATCCAGTATTCATTTAGCGAGTGGAGTGACTGACGTTAGCTTCTCCAACCAGAGTATCAAGTGTCCCACAGGTAAATCTAGGTAAATTTAGGGAAATCATTTCAGTCCTGTGGAAAAAGCACTGCTCCTGCCGGCGTCTGCCCCAATGCCTCATGACTGATGCTATTAGAATGTGATCTACGGCTAGCCCGAGCATAAAAAAACATGCTTTACATCATGCAACATCTCTCTCAGGGGTTGAAAACATCATATTTGTGGCCCTTTAATCCTAGCCAGTGAGGCCATCCCGCTGAGGTGTTTATGTTTAACAAAGTCGAGCTTACATGCTGGGTCACTGTGGCCGAGGACCTCCCCATATATAACCTCAAGTGTACACTCTTAGATACCACGGGAGGAGTAGGAGCCGGGAGACGGGAAGAGTTAGAAGGTTTACCCAGTAACAGAGTGTGTTGGTGTTGTTGTCGGTGGGTTAGGGGGCAGCCAGTAATATAGTCAGTTATGTGGCCTCAAGAAGACGGCCACAAAAGTCGACGGTCTTGCTACTCACTATGGGATACAAGCCTACAGCACATATTATTATTATTTAAACAGAACGCAGTTAATTACTAGATAATATTTATTATGTACTTTTAATTAAAATATATAAATACGAAAATAAATAAACCTCATATAAGTCAAAAGAAAATAAAAATTGTTGTCGTATCCCAAATTGTATTTTTTTTTACCTGAATTTGCCCGAATTTACCTGAGGGTTCCTAACACACTAGTGTAGTCGCCTCGTCGTGTAGACGTCGACAACAGGAAGCCGATGGCTTGTCAAAGGTCTACTATTTGTTCTGATGAATTTTTCCCCAACTGAATTTTACAATTTAGCAGTTTTGGCATTTACGGCTTCGGCGGGTAGGTAGTTCAGGTGATCTAAGAGCCACTAACACTAGTGGCTCTCGGCGAGTACAGGAAGCCGGCGGCTTGTCAAAATTCCTCCCATTAGCTCAAGCTAAATAATATACGAAAGGGTTCCCAATGTACAAAATTGAATGAAATGTTTTAGTACGAAACGGCCGGCACCCCATAAAGGTTATATACGAATCGACGAGGAGCCGCCTGAGTGCCACCGTACACTGTCCGGGGGCGCTGGCACCCTCCTCCAGGCTAAATAACCCGCCTCCAGTGGGTCCTCTGTGCTGCTGGGTATGTTGTCTACTGTCATTGATTGATTTCTCCCTCCCCGAAGCCACTTTAAGTGGAAGAATTCGTCTTATAGGGGGGCAAGATGTAGGAGAACTTGCAGGAGGACAGCGTCCGGACGACAAGTACCTGGGCGTCTTGTACCGTCACGTCTTGAGATATTAGAAGTATGTGTAGCATATTAAATCCCACATTATTTGAGGTAGGAAGGGAGGAGAAGTCTCGGGAGAAAGCGCCAAGCCATTATGACTATATAGCACTGGGAAGGGGTCAGGATAAGGATTTGGGATGGGACGGTGGAAAGGAATGGTGCCCAACCACTTGTGGATTGTCGGGGATTGAACGTCGACCTGCATGAAGCTCTACCGTCCACCCCAAGTGGTTATTTGAGTTAGGAAAGAACTTCTTTTCAAATGCAGTGGCACCTCGACATACAATTGCCCCTACTTACGATAATTTCGAGTTACGATGTAAATTTCATCGAAAAACGCGACTCGACATCCGATGGTGTCGTCGACTTCTGATATTTGTTGGTACATAAGAACATAAGAACATAAGAACAAAGGTAACTGCAGAAGGCCTATTGGCCCATACGAGGCAGCTCCTATTCTATAACCACCCAATCCCACTCATATACTTGTCCAACCCGTGCTTGAAACAATCGAGGGACCCCACCTCCACAATGTTACGCGGCAATTGGTTCCACAAATCAACAACCCTGTTACTGAACCAGTATTTACCCAAGTCTTTCCTAAATCTAAACTTATCCAATTTATATCCATTGTTTCGTGTTCTGTCCTGTGTTGATACTTTTAATACCCTATTAATATCCCCCCGGTTATGTCCATTCATCCACTTGTAAACCTCTATCATGTCACCCCTAACTCTTCGCCTTTCCAGTGAATGCAACTTAAGCTTTGTTAATCTTTCTTCATATGAAAGATTTCTAATTTGGGGAATTAACTTAGTCATCCTACGCTGGACACGTTCAAGTGAATTTATATCCATTCTATAATATGGCGACCAAAACTGAACTGCATAATCTAAATGGGGCCTAACTAGAGCAAGATATAGCTTGAGAACCACACCAGGTGTCTTGTTACTAACGCTGCGATTAATAAATCCAAGTGTCCGATTTGCCTTATTACGAACATTTATGCATTGATCCTTTTGTTTTAAATTCTTACTAATCATAACTCCCAGATCCCTTTCGCAATCCGACTTCGCAATCACAACACCATCTAGCTCGTATCTTGTAACTCTATCATCATTACCTAACCTCAGAACTTTACATTTATCAGCATTAAACTGCATCTGCCAATCCTTTGACCATTTCAAAACCCTATCTAGATCAACTTGAAGTGATAGTGAGTCCTCCTCCGAATTAATTTCCCTACCGATTTTCGTATCATCGGCAAATTTGCAAATGTTGCTACTCAAACCTGAATCTAAATCATTATATATTATAAACAACAGAGGTCCCAGGACAGAGCCTTGAGGCACTCCACTTACAACATTTTCCCACTCTGACTTGATTCCATTTATACTAACTCTCTGTTTCCTTTGGTATAGTCCTTTGGTACAGTACACGTTCGGGTCGACCGAGCGCGTGGTTCCCAGTTACGCGGCCGACCTGCCTCGGTTAACTACAGCTGCTAGCTTAATGACGATCGCGTCTATAAGAAATTTCGCTTTTGTGGTGATTTTTTGCATTTTGAACATTAAAGTAATTATTATATAACACGCCATGAGTCCCAGGAAAGTCAGTGGTAAGGCTCAACATATGAAAACCCATGTAAGGATGACCATAGAGCAGAAACAAGAGTACAGAATGTCTCTTCCTCAACAGTTAAGAAAATGTGTGCAGCATGGGAAGAATTGCAAACCTTTGCTGAAACGACTCGCCCATATCAAGCTGCAGTAGGTCGTTGCCTTAACCTATTCAATGCCACTGTGATGCATCATTACAGACAAATGTTAAAATGAAGGGGAAAACAAATGTCTCTTAACAAATTTGTAGTGAGACAAACAAGCACTGAACCACAACCAGGTCCTAGTGATATTCAGGCAAAACGTAGGAGAGAGAGAGTACCCCAGAGAAAACATCACTGCCAGATGTGATAATGGAAGGGGACTCCCCTTCCAAACAGTAACAACTCTCCTCCTCCCCCCGCATCACCATCTTCCATATGCCATCGAGAGCCCTGCATAAAGGTAAGATCAACTTCGGTACTGTATTGCAGTTAGAAAAAAACATTGTGTTCAGTATAAAATGTATTTGTATGTTAATATTTTGAAGAGTGGGGAACGGATTAATTCTAATTCCTTTATTTCTTGTGGGAAAAATCGCTTCAACTTACGATCTGTCTCTGGGAACGGATTAGCATCGTAAGTCGAGGCCCCATTGTAATTACCTAAGCGTAGTTACAGGATGAGAGCTTTGCTGGTGAAGTCCCGTCTTCCCAGCATTTTGTCATATAAAGCTTTTAAAGCGTTATTTGTAATGTTATTTTATGTTATGTAATAAAATGTTATGTGTAAAATGACAAACTCGAGGAGTTGTAAATTGTTAATTCCTTGTTTGATATACGTTAGTCTGTTCACAAGTGCCAACTGTGTCTTTGGGAGTCTTCCTAATGGGTGGGGTTGGTGTTGTACATTTATTTATTTTTTATATATTTATTTATATACAAGAAGGTACATTGGGTTCATGAGATTACAGAGACTTGAAGTTTTACATTCCTGTAAAGCCACTAGCATGCATAACGCTTCAGGCAGAACGAGTCGCGGAACGATGCGTTTGGGTAGAACAAGCTGCAAAGCTGCAGAACGAGCTGCAGAACGGCGCGTTCGGGCAGAACGAGCTGCAGAACGGCGCGTTCGGGCAGAACGAGCTGCAGAACGGCGCGTTCGGGCAGAACGAGCTGCAGAACGGCGCGTTCGGGCAGAACGAGCTGCAGAACGGCGCGTTCGGGCAGAACGAGCTGCAGAACGGCGCGTTCGGGCAGAACGAGCTGCAGAACGGCGCGTTCGGGCAGAACGACAATTACATGCTGCTTTGACAGTTATATTCACACAGGATGAGTGATGATGGTCAATGGCCCTCTAGCACAAAGTATCATATTTTTAATTGATATACTGTATTATTTTTTTTTCATGGGATGTCGAATTGGAACCAGGTAGTGTGATTCATACTCCTCGGTAATAATTTTAATTATAATAATTATAATTTATTTATAATTCATATCATATAATGAGTAATATTGTGATCTCTTCTTTATTTGAGGTAAATGTTAACAAACAATATAAGAATATGTTGAAATGTATGCTGTTGATAAATGGGTAAAGTTAGATAAATAAGTTTCTAATTAATATTTAATAATAATTGTGTCGGGGGACAGGAAGCCAGAGTGTATTCATACATTTGGGTTTTATCAAGTTTTTTATACACGTTTTACCATATGCAGTTAGTGGTATATAGTTAGTAAAGTAAGTAAAGTGAAGTAAAGTAAATTTTATTCAGGAAAGTATATACATAGTTGATTTACAAACATAATGATGGATTTATAGATAGAGCTAGTACAGTACATACAATACCTAAAGCCACTAGTACGCATAGCGTTTCGGGCAAGGTGAGGTGGGGAAAAAACACTTAGACTAAAACTTAATAGTAATTGAGCTTAAAGTATAAAATGCGTTGAAAAAAATAAAAGATAAAAAAGGGGGGAACATGGTAGCAAATAGTCAATATACAAGTTGGTCAACAAACAGCATTGTTTAAAATAGTAAGATATGGGTTGCGTTGCTTACAGTAATGGGCTCGGAATCAAGACCCCCCTAAATGTCATTTCAGCCTTACAATTTATATTCTGTTGCGCTACAGCAGTCGTTGTTTACCAGATACTTAGGAAAGCTATTAATGCTCGTGGTGGACTGAAAAGTAGTCGTATAAAGTATACTGGAAAGCTCATTACACGAGTCTAAAGAGGGGACACTATGAAATGTCTTGAGAATGGATAAAGTGGTGGTTTGTCTCATGAATATCCAGATGCCTAATTGCTGGCACCCAGTGGGTGAGACTTATCCATTTGCAATGGAGTTTTATAATATAAATTAGTATCAATAAATGTTCAGAATAAGGCAAATGGTATAAGGATTCACATGTAGAATCATTAATAATAAAGCCCAAATAAAAACACATACTAAAGGATATAGACTAAATAAATTTAGAATTAGACAAGAAATACTATAGGTTAACATAGGTTTAGAAATTGTATTAAACTTCTATGGAAAAAGTCACTAAGTAACATTGTAGAAACAAACTCGCTGAAAAGTTTTACAGTAATTAATAGTTGGATTAATACAAGCGGTAGTTGAATTTAAATGGGAGGCATCTTGTTTTGGTCAATAAGCCTTTAGCCGATTCCTTATTTTTTGTGGTCTAAGCTCTGCAGGCACAAGCTTAACTTCCCATTTTTCTTCCAGATGGTAAGAGCTTAAGCTGTAAACTAGGAAGAGAACAGTTGATTGTAGCAGAACATGGTTGCAGTATTGACAGCTGCCCTAATGACTGCTGCCGAGATATCCAATCTCTTTTCGGTGATCGGCGTAGTAATATGCTTTGTGTGCATGGCAGTTTTCATCATGCGGTAAGACTACATTCATTCCATTTAGATGAGAATCATTTAAAATAAAAAATGACATTAGGAATTCTTTATGTATTTGTTATATGTTGTTTGGTATTGTTGTGATACCACACTCTATCCTTCTTTGGGAGTTAAACACACACCTACAGCTAATATAAGGGACTGTAAAGGTACATTTTATTTGTTGTGATGTCTAAATTTGATTGAATCTGGTGTTAGGTTATATCTGGGTATATACAAGTGCATGTATCTGGGTATACAAGATGGCACTCGGAGCTATGGGCGCATGTGATCCCTCGATTGTCGTGGCCAACCCCCCCTCCAAAACATGTTGATGAGCATCACTCAGTCTGATAAGAAGTGCTCTTTAGCTGAGAGTATTCAGTATGCCATGCTAGCTCTCATTGGCCCGTGACAACAGTGTTTTAAATAGATGCAAAATTGAGTGAGACCTCGTACCAATTTTTTATTTTTATTTGTGACTCGTTGCAGGTTACAAGGCGAACATTTTTTCGGAACTTCTGTTGTGCATGTTGCTCAACCACCTGTGGCCCAAGTAGCATTCCAGAAAGTTGCTGTTCCATTTTCTCTTGAGCTACACAAACCTAGAGATGCATCGTTCACTGGTACGTACTGCATTCAAGCAGATTGGTGGACCTTATATACTGTACCTGTACTGTATTAAGTAGATGCCAGAAAGGTGCTTATGTATGAAGGTGTGTGGGATGGGGTTTTAAGGGCATGGGCACTTAATATAGTCCTTCTCCCTAGTAGTCACCGTGGTGTAGTGGTAAGACACTCGCCTGGCATTCCGCGAGCGCTTTGTCATGGGTTCGTATCCTGGCTGAGGGAGGATTTACTGGGCGCAAATCCTTAACTGTAGCCTCTGTTTAACTCGACAGTAAAATGTGTACTTGGTTGTAACAACGATTCTTCGCGGCGGGGATCGTATTCCAGGGACCTGCCCGAAACGCTACGCGTAATAGTGGCTGTACAAGAATGTAACAACTCTTGTATATATCTTAAAAAAAAAAAAAAAATAGTACCTCACTGTGCAGAGGAAGATGAATAATAGGTATGGGTTGATTAGTGCTTTTATATTATTTTCTTGATGCTGGAAGTCTCCATGCAGTACTCTTTTTGTATATCTTTCAATATGAATACAATTGCAACCTTCTTATGTATATATAACATAAAAATAACACTACAGTCTGTTTATTCATAAAGGCTATATGTTGTATTGTGAATTATACAGTATTTTGAATGGACAAGTGATATTTAGAAAGTTTTATTATATAACATCTGTAAACGCATTTTATTATATTGCTCTCCGTTTTTTTTCTTAGGGCTCATGCCTCCTACCCCATGAAAGTGGGAACTGTAGTAATGAATCTCATTATGTATCATTTTCCTATGTAGTGTAATAGTGATGTACGGTACAGTACTAGAAATTAGTTGAGTGAGAGTGTTAAGAATGTGGGTAAGGATTGCCCTAAGAATTAAGCATGAATGTTGTCACTTTCATATCTTGTGCGTGGGTTGGGTTATGTTTTCAGCCACATTATTGTGAATTATTCTCTGCAACAGATCTTGTATGCTCCGTTCATGTTATAAAGAGGTAAATCAAAGTCTAACCAAATCAAAGATGGGCTTAGATGCTATCATTGCAAGATAGAATCCTATACATTTGAGTGATTCAACCTGCTGATGTTTTATATGATAGGCTTATAAATCATATCATGTTAATTCATGATAGTTAAAAAGTAGAAAGAGGTATGTGCATAGGAAATTGGCCTACGTTAGGATGTGTTAAAAAAAAAAACTGTAGCTGTTTAACAGTATGTACATGTATTGTCATTTTATATTCTGTTTGGTAGTTCTATCTAATTATCTAATAACCTTAACTTAAAATGCTTTCTGATAAGGGGATTCTTAAATATGTTTGGTTCTTGTGTGTGTTAAATGCATGTTTACAAAATTGTATGGGGATTGTTTCGATTTGTTGAAAATGAAGATCTGAAGGATATTGTTTGATAACTGACTGGGTAATATTATTAATGTGTTCTTTTGCAGATGTTCAGTTAAAGTTACGTAGTGAGGTGTCGTATGTTCTGCGGAGCTACTGGGGAGTACCATCTGATCATCTACACTCTCTCCTGCTAGCTCCTTGGTCAGGATTCTTCACTCACTTAATTGAAAAACCTTCAATTAGGGCAGAAGTCATCGATAAGGTCTTAAGGTACAGATATTTTGGTAATGTTATTTAAGCATTAGTGTATCATTTGCTTTGTAACAGGAGTTGTAATTGTGGCAGATCTATGTTAGCTGCTTCTCGGCCAAAATAGATTATTTGTTTAGTAAAAATCGGTAAATAATTTAAAGAAATTTGGATCGGATGCTGTACCTGTTTTTGAGTTTCGTTCTCAGTATTCTGGACTCTTCAACCTAACATGGTTGACAAGTTATCGTTTAAAGTCCCCCAACATAGCAATTGCACCCCTCCAGGACATGCCCTTCTGAATATATTCGTAAGTGTGAGTGCATCATCATTCTCTCCCCAAATACGGACAAATGGGAAATATTAGTAATCCACATAACTAGTGCTGTTCTGCTTGGTATGTAAAATATTTGTTGTTTCTCACAGTAATATATCGTATTTCATCTAGCTTTTTTAATTTACAGTTTAATCAAATAATTGATAAATTTATGCTATGAAATTTTGGCTTGAAGGTGGCAGTGGCAGCTGATCAGTTGTGAGGTAGGAAGCTTTGTAAGGGGGATATACTATGGCCTTTCACTGTGCTTATGCTCTGTGATGATAGGGGTGAACCAATGTCAGACATTTGCTAATATCATCAAGATATTTTGTGTGATGATTCGGGAAGGGAGTTCTCTGAACCTATTTAAAATAAAATCAATCTGATGAACAAATCCACAATTCTGTGTGTAATAAATCTGATGTTTGGTTTACATGTTAATTGCAATATATGCTTGGCCATTGGCTTAAAGTTGAGAGAAAATGGGCAGTGATAGGGAAGGACAAATGAGCCGGTAATACACAGCAGTAACTTAGCCAACATGTTGTTTATGGCATTGTAAGAGCTTGAAATCAAAGATTTTGTCATCGAATACTTAAGGCTCCTGTATATTTGTTGAATAGTTGTAATAATACCGTATTATACTTCTTCTGTTAGTGAAATTGCAACATGTGGAAAAGATATTAGCATGATATACATTAGCATGATATTAGCATAATATAATTCAATGTATCTTTATTGTAATTTATTTTCTTCTCAGACTGTGTTTAGCAACATTTTTGTATTAATGGTGCCTTGCTCTTATCACCTTCTGGTAATTATTTTGAGTGGAGTACACTTTTACCTTAATTTAGTTTTTTCCTTCAGAAATGACATTAATGAAGAAACTGTGTGCATAAAACAAGTTAACTTGTGTTCTGGTGCTTCCCCATTATCTCTCGGAGAGTCTCCTAGACGAAATTACCCCCTAGTTGTGTGCATGGTGCGCCAGGATTCTGTTCAGGACACCAGTGAAAATGGAGTGGTAAGGACATAATCATCTTTTAATAAGTCACTTGACTGTCAGATATTTAAGGGTTATTAGCATCATAGCTATAATATTCTTATATGTTATTTATAGCATAGGAATGGTGCCGTCACACTGCTCACGGGTGCAGTCGGCTTTGAGTTTCCTGTGGTCAAGGGTCGGGAAATTTGTCTGGGATCTCATTTTCTGTGTGTTATCTACACAAAAGGTCAAAGGCCTTCCAATGCTTGGAAACTGTGAAAAGGGGGTAATGGTGGTGATGAATTTTAAACTTTATTACTAAAAAGGAGTTACATATAAGATACAAAGTTGATTATGATAAGTTGTCGAGTTCCTCCAGCTATATACATGCATAAATATATGTGAACACTTCACATTTTGTAATGAAGATCAGTGTTATATTGTGTAGCAGCTATAATTATTATTATATCAACAATTTAAAAATGTTATCTCATTTAGTTTGAAATATTATGCTTGCAATCTTGTATATTATTCTCTCATTTTTTTTTTGTATGTTATGCCTGAAGTTCTCTGTATATTAGTAGCTTTCTGGGGAAGCTCCCTTTTCCCTGGTTGCTCCCTGAAGCTATCTCACTGAGATTGCTCCTGGCTTCTAAGTCACATCAGTCGTGGGAGTTCTGTTTGGCCTACCAGAGACCATTTATCCTGGCTGGCTTGGCTTGCCTTTTTGTTTCCCTTTGGAGCCTGGCAGGGGTTCTGTTGCTCCCGTATACTGGATTGGCATAAGGCGAGTTATGATTTTTGGGTGGTTCTCCTTTTTACCACTTGACAACTGCCTGTTTGCTCTGGCTCCCTCCAAAGATGTGGGCAAGTGGCAGGTCCACATGCAGCTGCCTTTGCTTTCTGGTCAAGGGTCAGAAAGGTGCCCCTATTGTGGAAGATCACAGGCCTCATTCTCACTTGGTGGTGATCTTGCATTTTTGGTCCCTTCGTGAGCTTATTACTCATTGGCTACAGGAAGATGTGGAATTAATTGGACTATTGTCAGGTGTAGAGGTCTTGTTGCCTGTGGTTTTGGTAGCCTTGCCTAAGATGTTCGCATTCATCGTATGCGAGGATGTGGCAACATTTTACTCATTCTGCCATACTTGTCGGCAGGCTGTACTGGCCTAGTCTTTAGATTCGGTCTGGTTCTTAGCCCTTTTGTCCTTTCTTACTTGCCTCTCCTCCTTTTGGAGGACTTTGTGGTTCAATTCCTTTCCATGGCTGCTATATTTTGCAAGCTTATCAGTCAGTTATTAGTGTCTTGGGGTTCTGTCCCTTGTTTTAAGGTAAAACAAGCAAGGTAAGGTTTAAGGTAATGGCAGTAAGGTTTCATATTGCCATCTTTCATATTTCACACGATTGTTTCTCATCCTTCAGCTAGATATGTGAGAGCAAGAACATTTTTCTTGTAATAGTACTGGGTTTATTCTTAACTGCTGTAATGTTTTCTTTTGTCAGCCTTAATAATTATAAATTCAGATGTGTACTAATTCAGAATCTCATACCTGGAGAGGGTCATGTTTCCCTTGATAATTGCACTGCCCTTTGGTACATATGAAAACTTTGTTCTTAATTTATCTTCACTTTTCAGTGTTACTACTGCCTGTTCACTGTTCTCAAGAAATACTGTGCTTAACTCATAGTTATCCAGGAAAACTAAATTTCAAGCTTCTCCTTATAGAGGAAGCTATACATTTAATGACAACAATGTCTATACACTATAAAGTTAACTAAACAAGATTTGCTGTGTGCTGTCATTTTTCAGCTCGATGCATGACTGCAGTGTATTGTGTACTGATTGCAAATGTTTTCTTGACTATATTTTAGGGGGCACTGATTACCATCATCCATATCAAGGATTCTGAATGTCAGATCCCTACATGCATCCTCCATCAGTACCTGAAGCAGTACAATGGTCAACTCACCAAACTCAAGGTAAACTACCCAAGTGTATTCGTGCTTCTACAAACTAGTTAGAATGAAATTTGATGCTGAAGCTTGTGTTACCTGTTAAAATTAATTTCTAGAATCATATTTAAGCAGGAACCAAAAAATAAGAGAATCCACCTTTATTGAGCTAATGAGATTATTTATTGAACAGAAGAAGGATATTATTGTGAATCCCAGTAATTCCCTGTTTCATCACTGAAGTGCTAAGTGGCTCTATCCTCAAGACTACCACTATATGCCAGTCACTTGTAATCAGTGGTTCCTACCAGGACTGTTTTCTAAGAGAAGTTCCGGATCAGCCGGGCTGTGGTGGGTATGTGGCCCTGCGGGCCGCTCCAAGCATCAGCCTGGTGGACCAAACTCTCACAAGTCGAGCCTGGCCTCGGGCCGGGCTTAAGGAGTAGAAGAACTCCCAGAACCCCATCAAGCAGGTATATGTGGGCCTGAGGGCCGCTCCAAGCAACAACCTGGTGGACCAAACTCTCACAAGTCGAGCCTGGCCTCGGGCCGGGCTTGGGGAGTAGAAATCCCAGAACCCCATCAAGCAGGTATCAAGCAGAGAACTAGCATTACTAGTACTTCATTGGAGCTTTCTCTGCTCACACTCAGGCTTCTGCATTGTCCAACACAAATTTGCAAATGTCATTGTAGAGCCCAATTGCTGCACTGCACTGTTTGTAACGAATGTCCCCAAGTGTAGAGACTTTCTAACACTCCACTATTCACTTGCTTCACTGTCTGTCATTGGGTATCAGAATTGCAGGTTGCTCTTGGATACAACTTCATTGGATTCCTTACCTCAGTAATACCAGTCCTTCCTTTGGCTGGGACTGTCCTCAGAAAATGTGCCACATTCTGAGTAAGCTGAAGAGTGACCCCACATGGGCCCTCTGCACAGTGTCTGCTCAGCTGGGCATCTTGACGTTATGTTTTTGGTCCCAGACTGTTGCCGATACAACAGCTGCACTTTTTCTTGCAACTTCTGAAGAGAAAATGACAAAATAAACTTCACTGAGGTTGACTAGGGTGCTCATTGTGAGGATACAAGGCCCACAGGAATCTACAAAGTCATTGCTTGCCTCACAATCGATGATTTATAACAAAATCCTGGAGCTTGTGGTCCGAGTACCTGGAATTCTCTGGACTGTGTAACCCAGCTGGTTTTGGGCCATATCATACAGCTGCATTCCCTAGTTTTTGTCAGACCATGCTGTGGGGCTGAAGCCAGGCATGTTGAACTGGTTAGAGCCAAGCTGCATTGGTCTGGCTGGCATCAAATTGTGTTAGTCCAGCTTACACTGGGATGCATTGGTCAAATTGGGAATGTGCCCTCAGGGCCAACTGGTTCTCAGAAACAAGGGCTGGCATTTATTTTTCCATTTTGGTGAGTAGTCTGTGGGCTGGGTAGGTCACCAGTCTCCAGGTTTTATTGCAAAGTCAATTGAGCTGGGCTCTGTTGTCTTGACTGGTTTCTGCTGGTGGCCTTTTTTTCTCATGGGGACATTACCTCGTATCGCCTAGGTGCCATTTTGGGCTTGGGGCTTTTGGGCATGTTCTTGTGTGGCCGAGGCCTCTGTCTTTATGGTCTTTGGCCTTGTGCTGTCATTTTTCAGCTCAGTGCATGACTGCAGTGTATTGTGTACTGATTGCAAATGTTTTCTTGACTATATTTTACCCTTTTGTCGTTTGCCTCCACAGATCGGTGAAGGCCATCATTCCTGCTTTCATTTCAGGTTCTCTTATTATGGCCAACTTCCTCTTTCGAGGCTCATGTATATTTATTTATTTATTTATATTTATATATATATATTTATTGGATCTACTGAGGGAGCTTTGAAAACTCCAGAATTTAATGTAATGAAATGGCTCTTTCAGGTGGGCCACTCAGTACTTTCCATGTCCCTGTCATGTTCCCTCTGGGAAGGGAAGGGAAATATGAGAAAGTGCACATGAAAGGGCTCAGGATAAGGATTTGGATGGGACAGGGAGGAAGAATGGTGCCCAACTCTTGAACGGTCGGGGACTGAACGCCAACATGCATGAAGCAAGACTGTCAATACTGTCCAGTTCCTTGTGGGAATTGGTGGGTTGTCTCCTGGGGCAGCTTATGAATAAGTTTGCAGGCTGGCCAAGACCCAGAATCGCTTAGGAGGCCATCTGGTGGCGAATTTTCCCAATGTAATGATGGTGTGCATTCATTTTGTTAGGATTACAAATTTCTCCAAGCATTTGGCAGTTCTTGGCCACTTTAGCTTTCTGGTAGGCTTTTGGCTCGGTTCTGTAGTGATCTATGATCACAAGGCTTCCCATCACCTCTTCAAAGTGAATCAAATCCTGGCTCGGGTCCCCTGGTAGACACTTGTGGGTCTTCAGAGATCTGGTGTGTTCCCTGAGGCTTGTATTTTACCAGGTTGGTGGCATTAACCACTGCACTGCGCAAAATGCCTCTAGGCGCTCTGAGAATTGTGCTAATTTTTTTTTAATTAGGGTATATTTTAATGTTTTTTTTTATGTTTTCATTACTTTTTGTGTTTTTAAATGAAAATATGTAGTTTAGTTTGGAAACATTTTGACATTAACTTTACCTGAATATTTATGAAAACAACAAAAATATGTCCCTGACAATTGAACTAAGAAGTTTTTGCCGAAACCAGGTGCGCAGTGCAGGGGTTAAGGAGCTATTGAGTGGCCCACCAGAAAGAGGTATTTCATTACTTCACTGCATTTTTTGTTACAGTCAACTATGAATGAATAAATACAGGCTAACTTACAAAATTTCAACTTGTTTCAAGGCTCTGTACACTCAAGTGAGTAATGAAAGTCAAGAAGGAGGTGATAAGACTGGTGGTTCCTCCAAAGAAGTAACTGTAACCGATTCTCCAGACAGTAGTACATATGATGAGGTTGAAATACCCTTAGAGGAAGCCTGTGTTGTGTGTCAGGTAAGCTAGTGATCTTTTGTCTTGCACGTTTGGTAGTATCTCTTGTTCTGTGGTCAGTTTTCAAGTATTATTTACATTTTTTTATGCACAGCTGTAGTATATTGTATACTAACAAATTAGGAAATGGGGGAACTTTTGACAAGCCACCAGCTTCCAGTCCTCGTCGAGGCGTACTAGTATTAGTGGCCCCTCGGGTAAACTCGGGTAATACTGTCATCATGTTCCAGATGCACAGCCTATCATTATGGTCTCCACACTTGACCACTGTCATAAAATATAGTAACTCTATACAGTATTATTAATCATCAAGATATAACCATAAAATATACACCAATATTGTTTAAAATCTTAGTGTAAATAAACAACATAAAGTTAAGACTTAGTTTAATGTTCTTAAGTGTAACTTATTTTTATATATTTTGTTTAATTATTTCTTGATAATGAATCTCAAACTCATATGAAATGTTATACAGGAACTTTGAGTGATATTAGAGTACTTTTTCTGGGACACACTCTGTAGCTTCCAAAACTAATTGCTATTTCAGCGATACTTTAGCAACGTGCACCAGTCTCCAGAGCTCCACCCTTGCCTGCTGGGAGCCAGGACCAGAATCTGGCTGTCACTGTGTGAAGAGAGGGAAATGCGAGATCAAAAATCAACCCAAAAAGGAAAAAAACCCATCGTAAAGCACAAGCACAAGCACAACAAAACAAACAACTGCTTGAAGAAACTTAGGTACCAGAAGGTAACTTAAGTAAACTATTTCCTGCAATGTAAACTAAAAGTGCTGCACATGACGGTGCAGCCGGTCGGCCGAGTGGACAGCACACTGGACTTGTGATCCTGTGGTCCCGGGTTCGATCCCGGGGGCCGGCGAGAAAAATGGGCAGAGTTTCTTTCACCCTATGCCCCTGTTACCTAGCAGTAAAATAGGTACCTGGGTGTTAGTCAGCTGTCACGGGCTGCTTCCTGGGGGTGGAGGCCTGGTCGAGGACCGGGCCGCGGGGACACTAAAGCCCCGAAATCATCTCAAGATAACCTCAAGATATATGACCTCAAATGGGTCACTCTCTCTCAGACTCCTTTCTCACTGGCCTGGTTATAGCTTCCTAGGCACGAAGTCTTTGATGGGGACCCATCCTCAGCTTTACACTTACACTAAGTGGTGTTGGCTATCCCTTGAATATTAGTTTTGGAATGATAGGGGAGGCTTTTGCTTTGTTAGTGTTCCCTTTCCCCTTCACAATTGCGTTTTATTTCAGCCACTTGATTCCTTGTCCAACTTTCCACATGATTGCCTTAGCCTAGGTACACCTGTTGCTGCCGGCAGATTCTTGGATGGTGTCCCTGGACCTATGGGATGAATATTGGCCCATTTATCCCCTGTTCAAGGACTGGTTAGAATTTGTTGTGGAGCATCAAGCTTAACACTGGGCTTTCCTGTTCAGCTTTAATCTGGCTTGCTGGATTTTTCACAAAGTTGGTGCATGTAGTAATTTGTTACCTTTGGGTATTAGAGATTTGTCTTAGCCTACCTCGACAACTGTTCGGTTTGGGCTTCTAGCTAGTCTGCGAGCGAGGGACCTGGTTGTCTCCAAGCTCACCAGGTTGAGATTTCTGTGGTGATTTCCTCGTCACAGACATCTCGGCATTGGGATGGGCTTTTGTGACCAGCACTCACTTGGCTGCTTAGGGTTATTGAGCAAGTCCTTTACATTATTGTGCGTGAATTAGCTGCAGTTTGCCACACTATGCAGTTACTTTGTCTCCCAGTGGACTCTGTGATTCTTTTCCACTCTGACTGCTTCCTAGCAGGTCATTGGGTGAACCAGTGGGGGAGGGGGGTGCTTTGGTCTCTTCTATTGTGGGGCTGGACCCTGCAGGTAGCTCGTCTTCTGGATTCTTGGGGTTTGGCTCTCTATGTATTTCACATACGGTCTCTTGTTTCTGTCTCCTTGCCACAGGTGGACCATCCATGACATGTTCTGTTGGCTTTGCGGGATGTTCTGTAGCCCTGTGGTAAATCTTTTCCTAATGGCATGGAGCCTATAGCTTCCATGTTACGTGGCCCCCATGCATTGGAGACGTGCTGAAACTGGATACGACTTAGGCTTTAGTAGCAGGATAAGGCACGTGCGAAATTCAATGGAGGCACTTGGGCACAATTGTATGGTTTGATACCAGTAACCCTTAATTCTTTTGTTAGAATGGGACATGGTGAAAAAGATTGCTTACAGGCTAGCAAACTACATCAAACCATGAGCACCCCTGTAATCTCTGACAGAAATATGGTGGGGTCAAGGCAAAGTTGCACCAAAGAATTTTCCTGACCAAATGAATGAAACAAAGGTCATGTAGCTCATTATCTCAAAGCTTGGAGCAAGAACTAAAATAAACAGCCTTGATCAGCAAAGCTCAAGCACTGTCCAGGCAGTGGAAAATAAACACCTTATCGAAAGATCAGGTGGATTAAATGAAACGTGGGAATGATGGATGCTAAGGAAAACATTAATAAGCTTTATAAAGGGATAACTATTGAGGCAACTAGGCCAAATCCAAGAAGCAGTTTTGTCAAATCAACACAATAAATGATAGTGATGGACATATGCTGATCAGCAAAGTTCCACTTAAGAAAAGGCACTTAAAAAAGCAACACACACACACGGCTAGACCTGGGGAGCAAAACCAGGAATCGGCAAAACTAATTGCATGAATCAAGCAGCCCACAAAATTTTTAAAAGTATTTCGAGAACTTTCAAAACCTAAGTAATATATCCAGAATTTTTTTTTTTTTTTTTAATATAATACTCTTGGAGGTCCCTTAATACAGCCATAAGTTCATTTTGTGTGATTCTAATTATGCTGTAACTCTCTTTCCTCACATGTAGTGAGGTCTAACTGTACGTTAAGTTTTTACATCACCAATTTTACATAATGATTTATTTATTCATAACAAATTCTTCAGGAGTTTAATTTATCTGCATTCTATATGACTTCTATTATATTGTATTTATTTCAGGTCAAAAGGACTACTCGTGCCTTTCTTCCTTGTCGTCATGTTTGTGTGTGTGATACTTGCTGTGGTCGCTTGGATAACTGTCCCATGTGCCGTTCTCGTATCCTTGCCTACTTTCTCACTGCTCCAGAAGACCCAGTGTCTTACGATGAGGAAGTTGTGGAAGAACTAGATCCACCCACAGCTTGGAGACGATTAAATGATGCAGTGAATCGTATGTTTGTTGCAGAAGAGCAATGATGAATCTTGGAAGTTTTAAGGCTCTGTGAAATTAGTAAAGAAAATATAGGTAATCTGTGATTAAATGTGCATTCAAGTAGAATTTAATATTTTTAGTTTACTGGTATATGGCTTTAAGTACAGTATGATTACTTTTCGTATGATTTATATGTGAAGTAGGGATACTGTGCTACAATTTGTAATTGATCTTCCTATCGATGAAATGTGAGTTAGTCCCTTAACCTGGCAGGTCACTCATGGGTTACTTCTCAACACAACTAAATTTAATTAGTGCAAAGAATGGTAGTTTTATTTTGTATGTAAGAAATATTTCTTTAATGGAGTTGTACATCATCAGAGTATAATCAGATCTTTCATTTTTGTGAGAGAAAAAAAAGACTTCTGTTTTCTTATATTTTTTTAAATGATTTAATGCACAAGTTGAGGTACTTACATGGGAAATTACCAGGATTTTCTTTCTTTCCCAACTGAATATATAACAAAAACCTGGCTGTACATTATATACATTCACACCGATTGATTAGTAGGGCTTTGAAGATGCATTCATTATTTAGCCCTCTAAGGGTCTTGAGAATTTTACATGCAGAAGCATACTTAAATAAGGTTTTTATTTATGTTAAAAAACTTAGTAAACCAGAAATTTGAATATTTAGAAAGCTATAGGCCTAAGATTTTATTTATTGTATTTATATTTGAATATATATATATATATATATATATATATATATATATATATATATATATATATATATATATATATTTTATTTGATAATATATATATATATATATATATATATTTTATTTGATAAAATTGCTCAGCTCTTTATTAATATTAGAGATGCTTTCATACAAATTATTTATAAAAAGACACGTTGGTAAAATAGTGAAGCAATTATATTGCTTGGCAAGTAAAGATAAATTCAGCGACTTAATTTTGTATCCTACTTTAGAGCAACTTGATGATAAATTTTGAATACCTTCCAAGAAATACTGTACTGTACAGTTGTTAGTACTTGTAATAAAATCTCTCAATTATATGAGTTTGTCCTTCGCATAAAGCAGTATAAAAGAGCATTACAAAATAGTGTAATATCACAAAGGAGAACCCGTCTTGTGGTTAGGGGCACTTTGATGATCTGAAGAGTAATTGAGAGGAGCTTATGAAACCTTTTTTTCTGGTTTAAGTTGAGGAGTAAGAAAGAGAAGACCTGGATATTCCACATTTCCCTTCATCTAAGTAAAATATTTCTTTGGCTGGAGAGGGGTACAAAATTATAGGTTCAATGCAGCCTATATGAGTCACTTTGACTAGTGTCTTAATAGTGACTTAAAGGTGGCGTGGAGGGCATTTGTCCAGGGGGTTGGATGGTGGGTCAGACTAAGCATCTTGATACCATATGAAGCATCGATTTCACAGATTTGATCGCTTGCATATACACATGGGATATTTCCTTCCTTTTCCGCATGTTTAATAATTTAATCGTAGGATGGCATCTGAGAATGATACTCGCAATCGACTTGATTCAGACAAACCGAAAAGTTGTCGTCTCCTCACTTTCTGGTGTGTGGTGTAGTCTTCATACTCATGGCTTTGTTTTGCATCTTTTCCAATCTTCCAAGCATTCTTTCAAGCACTAGAGCAAGCAAGGGTGCAGCATAAAGGTCTAATATCTTACAGCAATTTTGCAATTCAGACATTTGAGCCATAGCCTGCTACAACCTTGAGTCATGAGCCACTTTTCATCGATGACCTAGTCTGGCCACAACATGGCTGTACAGTGAGACCTCAAGGCAAAGATATTTGAATCTGGTTACATAGAAAATGGAATGGTGGCTTCGATATACGAAAGGGTAACAAATCTAATCTGTACAATTATTGACCAAGTATGAAATCGGTAGTCGGAAAACCTATGGAAACAATATTCAGAGATATCACAGTGCACCACCTACAGAAACACTGATTATAGATTCCCACCATGGCTTTCAATGTGCACATTTGTGCTTAACAAATCTACTTTATTCCCAATATATTTTTTATATAATTAATTATAAAATGGAATTCTAACTTTTACTGGAACGCTTTTAAAATTTTGATCGGAAAATGTTGTGCCAACTAGTATACAATTCATATTGTTTGGTAACAAGTTTTCAAATCAGATTAACCTAAGTGTTAACAATTCCCAAATAATGTGAAAAATAGGAGGTAAATTCCTTGGAGTTCACATTGACAAGCTAAAAATCCAGTGCCGTATACAAAATGAGAAATATGTATATAACAGAGTAGACATTCATTCAAAGATCAGATACTACATTCTGCCTTTGTAACACCATTATTCTCTCATCTATCCATATCTCGCCTATGGTATCATTGCCGCTGGGGAGTTGGTAATACTTTCCCTCTACAAACTGCACCAGGCAGTTGATATCCAAGTAGTACTGGGAATGTTGGATCTGATGTTACATGCTGTTACACGACTTGATAATTGTCCAAGACGGACCGAAACGTCATCGTTCTTCACTTTCTGATGTGTGGTTTGGTCATCATATCTTCAGCCACATTATTGTGACTCATCGTCTGCATCTCCTGTTTTCTGTCCTACATTGTGGCTTGTTTAACTTAAAACTGATACTCTTTGTTTGTTACATCTGACCTTTTGATATTGTCTGGGTCAATATCCTCCAAATTGTTTAGTACAGTATTTGAAAAGTTTCAATAAGATCAGCCCTATCATGTCTGGTTTGTAGTGTTAGCCCCGAGGTGCTTAATCGTTCCTGGTAAGAGTCAACTTAGTTCTGGAATGATTATTGTTGCCCGGTGTTGAACCTTCTCCAAAGCAGCTGTGTCTTTCTGAAGATGAGGTTTCCATACTTAAATACAATAATCCAAGTGATGATACAGCAATACAAGTACCAGAGATTTATGCATTTGAATAACTGCCTTCTTTTTCTTGAAGTAAAATGTTTGTTTAACTACTAGGGTTTGATTAGCTTTTTATTTTTTTTATTTAGACTGCAGCTCCTACTTCTTGTGCAGCTTTCAGTGAATGATGGATTTTGACTAAGGTCCTTTTCTTCATCAATCTGCTGTAAGGTAATGTTAATTAAAAGAAAACAACCTTATTAAATCTGTCACAAAAAATTGTTATGAGGAATGTAAAACAAGCAGTCATTGCAAAAATTTTTTTATTGCTATACTGCAGAATAATACATGATAAATTATTCATCTGGTCCGCTGACTGAGGCGCATGCGTCACGCATCACCAGCTGCTATCCATGCACAACATGCATCAGGCACCTCACTAGGTACACACCAGGCTTCACCAGCCACTAGCCTCGTATCGCACCAAACAATTGTCATCCGATTTGGACCATCTGTTACTTGTAGCTCTCAAGCACACACAATATTTCACGAGTTGTTGCCGACACTAATTTAGGCCTCATTGAGTATCAATATATATTTTGTTTGCAGTGGAACACATCAGGTACTCTCTTGCTAGGATCAACAGTCGTCTGCCATTAACGTCTTCACACACACACACAAACACACCTTGACTACACACTACTGTAGCATGCACACCAGTGTCTAGTATTCATGCAAGGTTAATTCATCCACCAAATATATGCAGCTCATCTTGCGTGCCAAGAGCCCTTCCCAACCTGTGCTTGCAGGACCAGAACTCAAACGCCATTTACTGACAGAGGTTTTTGGCAATATATATATTTATACAAAAAGCCGAGACACGTTAGGAAGCTTGTGTACTAAACAGTTGCAAATATAAATCTTTTCTGGTCAATATACAGTTTACATTTTTGTGAACAATTTTAATACATCTTGTTACTTGTTTATAAATACTAAAAATCACAATATATTTTTGAAGTGCTGCATTAAAACAATCTACCACCTAGGCCCTAAACAGAAGGGGGGCCCTCTCAAAATCTCAGATTCTTGTGTAATTTAGATTTATTTTAAATGACATTTCTATAATGATTTTAATTAACATATAGGACCTCTACAGCTTCCCGTAGCTCAGGGCCTCACCTTGTCTGACTCCAGCCCTTTCGCCGAGAATGGGCCCTCACTGGGCCCCTCACCAACAGTATATTATCTGGGGCCCTCACCATGTACCCCCCAATGACACAAACATAACAGCCGCTCATCAAATCTTTGAGGTATTTACACCATCAAAAACCATAACCAAAGTTTCAGCATGCAATAAAACTGTCAGAATATAGTGTGAATGTATATGTATATATATATATATAATATATATATACTGTATATACTATTTATATTTATAAATTACATTTGTAGAGTTGTGGATTAATATTTTACGCTCTAGATTCCTTTCACTGCGTATGTCCCACTGGAAAAGTTGTGAATGGAAGCTGGGCCACTTGAAACGGTCACCTGTGAAGCACATTAGGAAGGGGCGGCCGCTGGTGACCGTGATATACATGCGCCGTAATGAGAGAGTGTAGTATGAGAGGAGGAGTAGTAGGGCGCAGAGCATTCCTGAGCTCTATACGCCACGTTTTGATTCCTGGCATCCCTACTGTTTTGCCCATTGGAAGCTGTTTCCGGCCGGATGAAGGAGGAACTTTTGAGAACAACAAAACTCTAAAGTTTGTCCCCCCATTTAATTATTTATAACAACCTTCTTGATAAATGAAATTGTAAGTAAATAAATCCTCAAATATTTGTTCTGGACAATTAATGTATTCAAAACATCGATCATAGCTAATCAAAATTTAATGTATCAACTCAGAAGCCTGTCAGTTCTCAAAATATATAGCGGCCGAAAGTAATATACAGACAGCATTAACCGAATGAAACTCACCCACATGGAGTAATATCCTATACAGGTCCATTACATGAAGCCTCGCGTCACTGTGGCTCCAAGGTCACCTCGCTGCCATCACTGCTACCACATCACCAGAAGGAAGATGAGCAGTGTCCTCAATGGCAGCTCATGCATAACTTAATTTTATAATATAGTACAACTGTCAATTTTCATATCCTTCATTAATCCATTAAATGTTTACCCTATCATTTCATCTTAAGTATGTATTGCGCTTTAATGCATGTTCATTTTGACCAATTACTTTTTTTTACTTTATACCCACTATAAAAGCTGCATACAGTGTGTGTGTATAATTATATATACATACATGTATATAATTTTTATTACACACGCACACACACACATTTACCAATTAACATAGGACAAAATTTTCTACCACACAGTTCTGGCATGTGTAAGCCTTAAGAACGACGCGGTAACCTTGTCAGTCGAGAAGTAACGCACGGCCCTTTGCTGACCTGCTTCACAAGTATATTCTTGCAACTTTTGGGAGACGAAACAAGGAGCAGGAATCCTGTAATAAACGCCCTCATGTGGACCTTGGCCGTTTTTCCAAGAGGACCATTAGCTAGTCCCCGGCACCACACAGGAGAACCACCAGCTGTAGTCCCTGGCGCCTCAAAGGAGGATCAACAGCTGGTCCTTGGCACCACCCAGGTGGACCCTGAACAGCATAGTCACCGGCGAAACCAGGTGGACCCTGAACAGCTGGTCCCCGGTGCCACCCAGGTTGACCATGAACAGCTGGTCCCAGGTGGACCCTGAACAGCTGGTCCTTGGCACCACCCAGGTGGACCATGAACAGCATAGTCACCGGCGAAACCAGGTGGACCCTGAACAGCTGGTCCCCGGTGCCACCCAGGTTGACCATGAACAGCTGGTCCCAGGTGGACCCTGAATAGCTGGTCCTCGGCACCACCCAGGTGGACCATGAACAGCGTAGTTGCCGGCACTCACTACTCTAGAAACTAACAATAGTGATGCAGTGTACACTACTCTCAAAATAATGAGACGTAAATATAGTAATATCTGTATACAGGTTACTAAAGGTTTGCAAGTATAAAGACGCCGTCTTAGCTACCTCTAATTAATGTTTGTCACCACTGTCCAATTAAAATGTATAAATGTAATCTTTCTAAACCTAGATAAACATTTCGAGAACTCGTGGAGCGAGTCAAGAGATGGTTAGGAATTCACCTATTACCCGTCTCATCAGTAGGACCAGGATTTATTATGTACTAAAAATTATGCGTGTAATTTTGCGATTTGTTAAATATTATGCATGGATGTCTTGATTTACTTTGTGTCTTGTAACATAATGAATATTGATGCAGTCTTTGGACTCTAGTTTGTCTAGTATTATTAATGGTAACCAAACCACACATCAGAAGATGGAGAAACAACAATATTGTGGTCCATCCTGGACCATTATCGAGTCGTGGGTGATAAAGGTCCAGGGCGGACCGAAACGTTGTTGCTTCTCCATCTTCTGAGTTGTGGTTTGGTGATCATATCTTCAGCCACGTCATTGTGACATCGTCTGTATCTAGTATAATTAGTCAGCAAAGGAATATATTTGTTAATTTTGTCTGTTATTTTGCGGAATATGGTTTAACCGCCCGGTGAAATTATCGTTTCGCACGATCACCGGCTTCCTATTTTAATAATAAAATTATGGTATTGTTTGCGAGTTTAAATAAATTATTGCTGTCAATGCTTTATTACACAAGTTAGAAATTATTTAACCCAATTAATCCCCCCCCCCCAAAAAAAAAAAAAAATATATATAAATTTAAAAAGTTACCAGTGGCCTAAACATTTGATGTTAAGATAACCATATGGATCAAAGCTTGTAATATGTTTTAGATTTTTGTATTTTACATCCAGTTTGTTGGAGTTGAAGCCAATGTTTGAAGCATCGTAATGTTTTATATTATTTTTGTTTATTATGCTTCTCCTGGCCCCCTGCCACACAAACTGAGCGCAACCTAGTTTACTAGCAGCCTAACCATGTGAACCAGAATCCCTAATCCAAATTTATTAATACTGAAAAATATTGCATAAGCTAATGTCTTAATCACTATACATAAGTAATTATAGGAAGTTATGAAAAAGTCTGCTGTCAAGATCTTGTTTCTTACTAACTTCTCAGACCATTTGGGGAAGAAAATTTAATGCCTTATCACACAGTTAATCTAAATTTTCTTCTCGGTTATTGAATGTTCAACCGTACTTAAAGATACCGAACTAAGGGCTTTTTATATATATAACTTTTCTTGATGAAGATAGAGTGCTGATTTTATAACAATAGAACACAAAATTGGGAGTTAGCAGACTCGAAGTCAACGTTCTCAACGTGACCGCCGACCAAGTAAATGTCCACTTGTAGGCGACCCGAACACTTTCTGAAGGTCGAGGCCAATTACGGGAATGATGCAACTGCTTGCTGACTGGATTGATGTCTGTCATGTGTTTGTGCGCCAGGAGGTCAGTCGGCCTCCAGTCGAGTGAATCCCTCACATGGACGGGTTGTACTGTTAGGGGCACAGACAAACCATGAACACATTTATAGTGTCAACCTCTAATGTGGCCGTCTGGTAATGGGGTGTTAACCACAATGCACGAACGGCCACGAGTAGAGCAAACCATTAGCATGATCGACAACCCGCATTAACACAGAAAACCACTGGTAAAGTAACCATTAATTATTAACTACCACTCGCATGGCCATTGCATTGGCGAGAGCACTCTCGGCCAACCATCAATACCAACTACCACTCGTACTACAGAACCAACCAACAATATGAACACCCAATTTCAAACTATTGGTTGGTTCTGGGCCAGGACCTCTCTAGCAGAAAACTTTCGAAGGTAATTGATTTGCGAATAGATTTATTCATGATTGAAACAAGCAGGATCCACAGAATAACACTTAAGCCAAGGATGTTCTTTAGATAAAACTGCTGAAAAGTGTTAGATTAAAATAAAAGGCTCAACTAATGTGGATAGGTTCTGCAATGAAACACTACTAGTAAACAATGGAAAGTCCCCTGTTCGATACGCTCTACACTTTAACGTTCCTAGTGAAGGTGTCCTACACGGGAACCCTCCTAGTTGAGGCATCCTGCACGGGAACCCTCCTAGTTGAGGCATCCTGCACGGGAACCCTCCTAGTTGAGGCATCCTGCACGGGAACCCTCCTAGTTGAGGCATCCTGCACGGGAACCCTCCTAGTTGAGGCATCCTGCACGGGAACCCTCCTAGTAGAGGCGTCCTGCACGAGAACCCTCCTAGTAGAGGCGTCCTGCACGAGATCCCTCCTAGTAGAGGCGTCTTGCACGAGATCCCTCCTAGTAGAGGCGTCCTGCACGAGAACCCTCCTAGTAGAGGCGTCCTGCACGAGATCCCTCCTAGTAGAGGCGTCCTGCACGAGATCCCTCCTAGTAGAGGCGTCTTGCACGAGATACCTCCTAGTAGAGGCGTCCTGCACGAGATCCCTCCTAGTAGAGGCGTCTTGCACGAGATCCCTCCTAGTAGAGGCGTCCTGCACGAGAACCCTCCTAGTAGAGGCGTCCTGCACGAGATCCCTCCTAGTAGAGGCGTCCTGCACGAGAACCCTCCTAGTAGAGGCGTCCTGCACGGGAATGTTCCTGGTGGAGACAGCCTGCACGGGAACGCAAGTGGTTTAAATGAATAAGTTAAATATTCATGGTCGAGTAACATTTTCTCACATATTTCACCTTCGAAACTTTTAAAAGAGTAAAATATTTGTCTTCTCAAGCTAAGACTCGAGTAGTTTCAAAGTTCTAGGTAAAATAAATAAGGACCAAATTAGCAAGTATAACTTTCCAAATTGATTAAAACCAGCGTCTATTTGAAGGAAGTGATAGTATATAATATATATATATTCTGTATATATATATATATATATATATATATATATATATATATATATATATATATATATATATATATATATATATATATATATATATATATATATATATATATATATATATATATATATATATATATATATATATATATATATATATATATATATATATATTATATATCTATATATAGATATATATGATGGCATGGGTTGCAGGCATCAACAGTAAGGAGTTTTCCGAACCTGTGCTCTTGAAATGTAGAAATCACATTTAAAGTTACTACTATTCCTCGCCTTCATCCACAATATATAACTGAAACGACCTTTAGTTGTAAATCCAGTTGAATCAAACTATTTGTTTTGGCTGTTGCATCTATGACCCTTTGTCTACTTCGTGAGGCATATTTCCGGGGTTAGAAATACATACAGAAGACTGTTTAGGGCTTCCTGGTGGAAGGAAGGTCGTGTGGTGGTTTAGGTCGTGCGGTCACGCGAGAACGCGACTTATCAGACTATACCCTCACTATGTACACTTGCTACTCTCTTGTAGCTGGGATTGTGATTCTCCTACGGAATGTTAGGGTTATGGCACATTTGGCGCCATGTGTTCTACACTCTCGACTAATATGTGACACGACTTGCATTATGTGTCCTACACTCTAATATGTGACAATATTGCTTCAGGTGTCCTACATGGCACATGGTACAGCCGAGGTCATGTTCCCTACAAATGATGCCGTGTGTATTACAGTCAAACATACTGATGTATGCTCGACTCTTGTATGAATCACGACACCAGTGGCACTGTGTCATACTGATAACTAATACACAAGGGGCAACTAGTGCCCCATGCTCTACAGGCAACTGACACAAAGTTCAACAGTCGCCATGTGTCTTATACTCAAATCATATACGACATTTTATCTCAATCTTTCTTTTACGAACTGGCATTTTCCTAGTGCTATGTATACCCCAGCCAAGCCCTCAGCGTCATGTGTCCTACTGTCACACGATACATGACTCAGCCGGTTCCATATTTCCTACAAGTAACCGATATATATGAGAAAACTGGCGCCATCTGTCTGATGCCACTAATCCTGTTGAAGTAATCAAGTAAAATGTAGCATTCCCCCGAGGCCTTAAATTGGCAGGTACTAATAACCAACTAGACTACACCCTATGGCCAAGCTTGGTCAAGAAGGCTAACTATGATATGTAATACAAATCAACACACAAACTACTAGAATAACAGAAGTGGAGTTTAATCAATGAGATTGTCAATAAATCTATGGCGTTACTATCACTTTACAACACTCACAGTACTCGTAATTAAAATACTTATGATGCAACGGCTTAGGCAAGTAATGAATCTATTATATATATATATATATATATATTTTGCTTGTCACCCAGAGATTATCACTTGGATGAACGTATTAGTCAACGACCTGTGCATTCATTACCTAGTTTCTATGGCCAACGTCTAGTTCTCCTCCACTGCACTCATACTATAAGCAGTCGGATCGCAAATAGCTCAGCGGGCCCCATGATGGCGAGTTGGTGATGAGGACTTTTGTGCCCCAGTGAACCCGTCTAGAATGAGGCACAATATTCTCTGGTTTTAGGGGTCTGCCCTGGATCTGAAAGCACTTTGTTGGTAGGGGTTCTTTGGAGGTGGAAGGATGTGTTGGTTGAGGGGTAGTCCTCAGTGGTGTGGGTTGAGGGTAGTCCTCAGTGGTGTGGGGTGAGGGTAGTCCTCAGTGGTATGGGTTGAGGGTAGTCCTCAGCGGTGTGGGTTGAGGGGTAGTCCTCAGTGGTGTGGGGTGAGGGTAGTCCTCAGTGGTGTGGGGTGAGGGGTAGTCCACAGTGGTGTGGGGTGAGGGTAGTCCTCAGTGGTGTGGGGTGAGGGTCACTTTGGTAAAGAGTGTGCATTGGTGAGTGGGTGAACCTCGGCAAGTGTGGCCAGGGTGTGGTGTTCGCTAGCAAGGTGAGGAGAATGAAGAACTGAACACAGATAGAGTTTTGCTGCCACTGATAAAGTTCTGAGAGGAACAGGTGTGTGTGAAGTGGGAAGCCTGCATACACAAGGAGCAGCTGGTGGTATAGCCAGTACTGTAGAGGCGAGTGGAGAAGGTAGACTTATCCTAATGTGGGAGGATAAGGGATCAGTGTATGGAATGCAAGAGATGGGACTGTGAGGGGTGATCACTGGGTGGTGGTTGTTGTGTAATGGTCGCTAGGTAGTGGTCGCTGTGTGGTGGTCGCTGGGATGAGGATGCTGGGGGTGTAGCCGATAGGTGACAGTCACTGGGATGAGAACACTATGGTAGATGCAAGGATGGTATTGATAAACAAAGAGTTTGAGAATGGAGACTGTGTTGAGATACAGGCTGAAGATACAGTGTGTGTGTGTCACGTTAGTTTGAGATAATACATTGTTACTTCCCTGAAAGTACCGACCTAGGGCACCAGGTGAGGAACAGAACAGACAATTTCTAGTGTGATAATGTAAAATGTATAGCTAAAGACGTAGCCAGAGACGACTGTACCAGACGCAAAGGACGTCGTCTAGAGATATGAATACAATCACAAAAAAAACTTCACCTGTGTGTCTAGCCAAGAGACGCTTCACACACACATGACAGCATTAAGCAAGATGGAATTATACGTTACATACACACACAAGAGCGCCAAGCAGTATTTTACGAGATATAATACTGGCAATACAGCAAAGGAAAGTGTATAAGTCAATACGTGAGACTCCAGACAGCCGGCGTTGCTCTAGACACACACACTAAAACAGCGGACAGCAAGGAAACAATAGCGAAGTCAACACGAACACTCACTTATCACAGCAGACTCTCCTCATATATAGAGGCGAACAACATTTCTTTTTCCAGTATGACCGTCATGTACACACGTATACCAGAAAATGGCTCAGGAAGTTCCCCCTTGCAGCAGGAGAGTTACTGTAATGTATAGTTACCCCTCGTCTCTGAACCAGACTCTACCTGGCCACTACACAAGAAGCGGCACTATGATTACATCCGGGGGACAAAACAAGTCTATATAGTACCTAAAAGTCGTACCAGCAGCAGCGGTTGGTTATAGTGGCGCAGCTGGAGCTGTAAATAGGACACTCGTCATAGGGAAGCAGCTGGAGCTGTAAATTGGACATTCATACAATCACACGGACGATCATTACACTGTGATGGAGACTACGATTGTACACGAGAGAGCAAGGCAGCGACAGCAGACTGCTACTGACTGCGAATTGATAATTTGCAGAACAAGAACTACACTTTTACACACGACGCAAGGTGTCACTAGAGAAGTAATTGGCGAAGTTTGTGAGTGGAGAGGCGCTCGGTGTTGTCTGTCTGTCTGTGGACAGTGACGTGTTTGTATATATGACTGTGGACAGTGACGTGTTTATATATATGACTGGACAGTGACGTGTTTATATATATGACTGTGGACAGTGACGTGTTTATATATATGACTGTGGACAGTGACGTGTTTATATATATGACTGTGGACAGTGACGTGTTTGTATATATGACTGTGGACAGTGACGTGTTTATATACACGAGTATGGACAGTGACGTACATGCACATGTGAACATTGCACAAACGCTCCTGCAAATTAAAAGTTCTAAACTGTGGGATTAACCTCGCCAATGAGATTAAAAATTATATTTCGCGTCCAGTTGAAAAAACAAAAAACTCCCTTTTTGACTATGTAACCCATTTTCCTCACCTCTTCTCATCCTACATGTCAACCATTTTCCTCACCTCTTCTCATCCTACATGTCAACCATTTTCCTCACCTCTTCTCATCCTACATGTCAACCATTTTCCTCACCTCTTCTCATCCTACATGTCAACCTGTGTTTTGCTGTCATTGTCAATATTAAAAAATTATAAATTTCTACGTACATACTGTTACTAAGTGCTGCTGCTTATAGATTTTATAGGAAATAAGTAATTTTTGCTAAATCTCATCTAGAGTGTTAAATTTAGTAACTATGTGTTCTGTTAAAAACTGTTTATATTTGTTTCTTGTATAATTGTCTATTTTCATATATCCATATGCGTCTGACTCTTGTGGTCATAGTTTGGTGTGTCTGTGGTTACGAAATGCCTGTTAAGAAGCTGTAATTGAAGTGTGAACGAGATTGACACTAGAAGAGAACATGGTCCATGGTATGACAAAGATATATTAAAGGTATTTATGCATATTAAAGGTATTTATGCCTATTAAAGATACCTAGGGGGGAAGGTTGATATTTTTGGAAAGTCTGGAGAAAGCTGTGAGATTTGGGAAAATATTTTGTCTATATACTTTTAGAGTTGGAAATATCTGGAGGGACTTAAAAATATCTAAAGGTACTTGAAGATATCTTAATAAAACTGGGGGATGTGTGAAAGTAAATTTTAATTATCTAGGAGAAAGGGGTATATTAGTTTGATTACAACTTTATGTACCCAGAGTACTTAACAGAAAACCAATGGAGGTTTAGGCACCTAGGGAAGGTGTACAGTATCCCAGGCACCTGGTACAGGTTCAAGTGTTTATGATATGTTGAAAGCACCTAGAATAGAATAGTAGCCTGTGGTTAAAGTTAGAGACATCTGTGATGAAATGAAGGTATTTAGAAGCAGTTTAGAAGATTTGAATGAAGTTGAGATGATCCGAGAGAAATTGAATGTTTTGTTAAATGTAAAAAGTTATCTAAAGGAAGGTGGACATTTTGGACGAGGGTATTGGACGAAGGCAAGTAGGAAATCTTGGGAAGTTGAAGTGTTTGGAAGACGAATGTGGTGTATTCAGGGTTATTTATGAAAGCTTGGAGGTATCTGCAAGATATTGGACTTTCTTGACAAAGCTGGACTTGTGTCTGGTAAGGTGAGACCGGACACACAAGGGGAAAGAGAGAGCATACATACTGATTTTACAGTGTACTTTCAGTGCACTGTACTTTCAGTGTACTTTCATTGTACAGTGTACAATGTACTTTGTTTTACTTTCTGAACTCTAAAGTATATCCCATGTATTTTGTGTTCTTAATTTCAAGTAATTAGAAGTATTAAAGTAATTCATAATTTAGGAATATAACATGTAGTTAAAATCAGTTTGGGCATGTAATAATTTTAGGGTTTTGTAAACGGGCGAGTTGGTAGGGATGATATTTTTGTCTTCGAAATAGTTTATTGAATTGACTAATTAACTATCAAAAGGTAGGAACTAATTTAACTATGTTAGTGCATAGCTTCCTTGCATTAATAGGGTACGAGTTGAGGATTAGTTGTAGCTTGAAAGTGATCTGACTGGAAAGGATTGTGACTAGCGAACTCTTGATTGTAGGACTGGACACGGGATTCATCGATAGGTTGGGAATGACTGAAATAATTCACCGACATGATTGACTAAGCAGAGATTAGAACTGTGAGGATGATCAGGGCATGGGATAATGCGATTGGCTCAGGAGGGACTGTGTCGATTGCTTCATTCCAGCGTAGCGAGATGGATAAAACGTAATTTGGCTCCATCTCCTACCGTATCTTGTACACTAAACTGACTAGCTTGGCATTGGCTTGTGTCTGGGAAGGCAGGAGTTGGAAACGGTTGTGTGTGTGTGTGTGTGTTCGCGCGTGGTGAAGTGGTTGGAGAACTAGACTTTGGCGTATTACAAGTAGGCAGGCTTGCAGGTGCAACATAAGGAACTCATGTTGCGGTAGAGTGAGCGCCGCGTTCTCTTTTTGCTCCAGATGCTGAACATGTCCTCCCCAGTGAGCGCCAGGTTCCTGGAGCCCGCCTCCTCCTGTGGGTGAAGACAATGAGAGGGAGTTGTTACACATACTCATGTTACCTCACCCACCAGTCACCCTCATTATCCTATTGCTAACATTCCCAATAATCTAATTATTATTGAGAAAATCCACTCGGGCTGTGAGGTGGACGCGGACCTTCTACCCCGGCATTGCAGAGCTATAATAATTAATTATTATAACTTATATAAACAAATCAAATTATAAATATCATTATGTCCCAGAGCTGTATTACAATATACAATATCTGTATTAGCTTAATAGATGTTGAATGCTTATCAAAATATACGTTAATTTATTCAAGTTATTTCATAAACTACAAAGTGAAATAGTCTATATATATACTTTAGTGTTGGATTTAATATCCCTATTGGCCGCGGGAGGATTTGACAGCGAGCGCCTAAACTGACAAATGATCTAAAATGATCAGTGACAGGCAAGATTATGAACACTGTAATAATAACATAATAATCATAACGAAATAACCAGCCATTTCAACGCCTTTCCAGAGGCTCTGACCTGCGGCATGTACTCCTGCATCTCCTTGAGGATTGCGAGGATATCATCGCTATCTTTCTCTATGCTGCAGATCTCCTCCTGCTGGAAGTCCGGCTGGAGAGTCTTGCAGAGCAGCAACTGGGAGATCACGCCCAGGCCTCCCATACCTGACGGCCCTGGCTTGTTCTCTGGAATTTGGGAGATAATGTTATGTGCTGCTTTTGGACGAAGAGAAAGCTGGGCGGATGAAGAGAAAGCTGGGCGGATGAAGATAAAGCCGGGTGGATGAGGATAAAGCTAGGAGAATGGAGGTGGCGAGCAGTGACAGGCCCGGATTAGGACTTTCGTAGACCTTAGGCATCTCCAAGATATTGGGCCACATTTGCCAGCATATTCACTAACAACAAGCTAGTACCTGCTATTTTGCTGTTATTTATGGGTAAGATGATCTGAGGTCGTCTAGGAGTGTGGGTGTGATGAACTGAGGTCGTGCATGAGCGGGGGCGGAGGTCGCTGAAAGATCCTACATATAAAGAGCGGACGGAGAGAGGGAGAGAGGCGCTAATAATGAGTCAACACTGGCTGCGTGCCGTGAGTTTCCGGAGACTCGGCTCTTGGGAGAGAGTCGCCTTTGACTCTCACTCAAGAGTCAACAGCCAAAGCAGCGGGTGTGAGGACGCCCAGAAAGGACGCGCTATGAGAGATAAAGAGCGAGATGAAGTAGGATGATCCGAGGACTTTAATGCCCCTGAACGGTGTAGGTATTTCTCCCATGGATAGTTTCAGGTGGAGATGCGATGACATTTAAGATGCTCTGAGTGTAAGCATGGCGATCTGATAGGCGAGAGGGAGGTGACAAGAGTGGCTTTAGCAAAGAGAACGACAAGGTGGGGGGTAACAGCCGCCCTGAACAGCCGTGGTATAAGCGTTCTACCCCCCCAACTCTGCTCACTCATCCCCCAACTGAGCTCATTGGCCCCCCTCTCCTCCCCCTCCTCGTTCCTCATTTTCCAAATCTGTAGCAGATTATTATTATGGGAATTAAAAAATAGGCAATAATTCCTGAAGATTATGTTAGCCAAAAATTAATTAAATATCAAGTGTCCTTCTGAATCCTTATCTGAAGTTGAGAATGGACCATCCTGAAGTCATCGACTTGAGAATGGTCCAGGACGGACCGAAACGTCGTCGTCCCTTCACCTTCTAGTGTGTGGTCTGGTCAACATACTTTAGCTACGTTATTGTGACTCATCGCCTGCAGCTGAAGTTGAGAACTTTATATAGCTTAGTTACGCTGCAAGCTACGAACCGGCGCTGCAAGCTACGACCCGGCGCTGCAAGCTACGACCCGGCGCTGCAAGCTACGACCCGGCGCTGCAAGCTACGACCCGGCGCTGCAAGCTACGACCCGGCGCTGCAAGCTACGACCCGGCGCTGCAAGCTACGACCCGGCGCTGCAAGCTACGACCCGGCGCTGCAAGCTACGACCCGGCGCTGCAAGCTACGACCCGGCGCTGCAAGCTACGACCTAGTAAGTTTGCGAGTTGGGGTCAGCAAGCGGGGATACTCTAGGTTGGTCCATAAGACTTATTCTCAAGAGTAAACAATCCTGTAAATGAGATACGTGCCTTACAAGGGCCGTGTGAAGATAACTCCTGACTTGCCTCATCATCCTTCACTCATCTGAGCACACGAGAAGCAGAGTCAGTGCCCCGCTATACGTCCCCAGGTGGTCACGACTCTGTGGGGTGTGTGTGTGTGATGGAACGCCTGCCCATCTAAGATGCCTCTCAGGTGAAAGGAATCCTGAGTGCACACTGTTGTTTGACTTGCTGTCTTCTGAGACACACCTGGAGGCGTTTTACTAAAGTATCTGGAGAAAAACTTCACCCACGAGATCATCATATACCCCTCCACTACCCCCCTTCTATCTCTATTCCTCTCTTCCCTCCTCATATTTACTCCCTCCTCATCCCACTATTCTTTTCCTCTCTCATGCGTTTGTTTATCATTAAGGGGAAGAATAACCGCAGCTTCTTCCACCAAGTTTGTTCTTGTGTGCTTCATTCTGGCCGTGTTGATCACAAGGATCCCTTTTGTTAGGCTGCCTTTTACACGAACTACCATCCCCCTCGCAGACCTAGAGCCTCTTTTGTCACTAGCTGCTTCTCTGCTTGGCTCTTTGTCTGCGTATTTGCCTCCTAGCTTGCATCTCTAATTTTTTATATTTTTGCACAGATAGGTAATGAGTAGACGACTTCTGACTCCAGGTACCCATTTACTGCTGGGTGAACAGAGGAGGGGACAGTTATGGATTGGTGTCTATTCAATCCTCCCTCGAGTGTTCGAATCCTGACTAAATCGCTCGCACGGCGTGGGGGTGAGTATGTTATCACTACGTCACTCTTTGGTTAACATCTTAATTCCAATCACTTGAGATTGGGCCTCTAATGCACTCGCGTCTCTGCAGTCGGATCTCAAAGCTTCGTAAGAGTAATCCAGCATCGGATTGATCCCTTCTCTCGGAACTACTTGTGGCAATGCTTACTTATAACTTTTTAGATATTTAAATCACTTCAACTAAACGTCGAATTTCATCAAATGGATTATCAGAGGCTATAAGCTAGTGCTTGGGAGTAGCGATTAGGGCGACACTTGTTCACTAACACTAATCTCATCTAATAAAGTTTGGTCCTGAGTGTGTGCGCGCGTTGACCCGAGTCACTGTGCCGGTCCTCGCATACAAAGATTCAAGCTCGTTAATCCAGCCGCCAAACCCGCTGTTTATAAATGAAAAACAGTTTACACACAACTGATGACGTCCGAACACTTCCGGAACAAGTGCTCCGCTGATGACCTCTGTTAAAACCACAATTCTATAAATGCTTCACCCACGTACTTCAAATACAAATAATCGCCAACAGAACTTAATCACCTAACCTACACCTTACACAGAATTTGTATGTATAATAATTTATACAAGAGCAAACCAAATTTTAATACACCGTATGTTAAAATTGATAAACGCGTCTGGGGAGGACGGCCGCGGCTTTAACCAGCCTAGTGTGAGGACGGGTTGTCTGGAAAAGGGGGAACCAGGGGTTGTGCCCTTATATAATAGTGGTGATAGGAAGGAGTCCCCAGGTGAGAGGGAACAAGTTATGAAGTAAAGGTACAAGAGAAAGCAATGAGAAATGGGGCCAATAGATACGCCATCCCGAGCGTAACAAGCTGCTGATTAACAAGCAATTAAGTGTTAAGTGGAACACTGAAGGACGGACGAACCAGCAGACACGGAAGACATATTGGAAATATACAGAAAATATAGATGCAAACTAGAAAAAAAAACGCAGAAACCCCCCCACAACATAAGGTAGAAAAACAGATATTAAACACCAGGTAACATCCGTATATACATCAAAATAATCAGCATTTATGTAGCTTATGATAATGTTCGCGGATAGAAGAGGAACGAGGACATAACTATCCTCCAACAAGGACATAACTATCCTCCAACAAGCACAATTAGTTAATGCCAATCAGATAATAGGAAGCGTCCACATGCATGCATTTGTTTAGTGCAAAGGTCGTGTTGCAGCTTACTGTAATGACTAGGAGGGAGGTAGTAGAGGTAGACTCTAGGAGTCTTTTACCCATAGAGGTAGATTCTAGGAGTCTACCTCTATGGGTACCTACAAAGGACACAGATCATCTTCTCTTAGGACGTAACATCTTCACCCACTTCTAAGTAGTTTCAACCCATCATACAGGTCACTAATGCCAAAGACCAGGCTGGTCAGAGACGGAGCGCATGTTACCGCTTCACTGTCAGGAGAGCAACTGAATGTCCCAGCCAATGACACGGGCTGATCTACATGACGTCACACCTGTCCACCAGTTCTTATTGGCTACCGCCCAACGTCCTCGTGTTACGTCACATTTCAAATGCTCTCTATGACTTTCCGGAGGCTTCTCGAACGCCCTTGAATACTAGTGACCAGAATAGACCTGGCAAAAGCCTTCCGATTACCTATATATGTATCGTCTATCCCCAGATAGACGAAAACTGTCCGAAATATGGATAAGATGAGACATATCTCTCACGGAGGTTAGTGTGTAGTGAAGGATTATGTCTCATAACGGCGGCTAGCGTAAATGATAATTCCAATTGTTGTTTAGAATTTTGTTGATATCAGTGTTGGCTCCGCCGCGGCCTGCTCGGGCTAGAGGGACATTAACGACCTATTAGTCATTCTCACGCTAATTATAACTGGTGATATAAATATTAGATAATGAATGATAAAAGAAAAAACGAGTGTTAACGATTCTTCGTTAACAACTGGCTGGTTGCGTCTAACAGCTGCGAACAGTTGTTTGGCGTAGCAGCAATACAGTAAGCTCAGAGTAGCAGCAATACAGTAAGCTCAGAGTAGCAGCAATACAGTAAGCTCAGAGTAGCAGCAATACAGTAAGCTCAGAGTTGCAGCAATACAGTAAGCTCAGAGTAGCAGCAATACAGTAAGCTCAGAGTTGCAGCAATACAGTAAGCTCAGAGTTGCAGCAATACAGTAAGCTCAGAGTTGCAGCAATACAGTAAGCTCAGAGTAGCACCAATACAATGAGATAAAACTGTAACCAGGACATTTGTTAATGGAAGAAACAGTAAAGATTGAAAAAATCTGTTTCTCGACTTCGTGAGTCTGTTTTCATCCCTCTGCCTTACCCTTCCTCCCTTGCCTTACTCTCCCTAACTTGTTTTACCTTCCCTAACTTGCCTTCTGCCCCTCTATCAACACCCCTCATTGCATCCATCCCTCACCTTCCTCTCTACCTCATCTCCCTCCTTCACTTTCCTCCATCTCATACCTACATTCCTCACCGCTCTCTCCTCTTCCCCCCTCATATTCTCTCCCTCGGTCCACCTAAATCAAGGTGAAACACCGAGACTGATTGAAAAGAAGACATTAGCCCCACCGCCCGCAGAGCTAACCAATAGACCTAACTAAGCTAACTCAAGAGCTAACTCAGCTAGAGAAAACCGTCTAGTTTCAACCTCACGTCAATTTTCAAATCAAATAAGTTTTGGACGACGTTTCGGTCCGTCCTGGACCATTCTCAAGTCGCTTGTCGTCCCTTCACCTTCTAGTGTGTGGTCTGGTCAAATTAGTTTGGAGTTCAATTTGGATATATTCAGTTTGCTTGTATGAAACACATCATGCAATAGGTTGCAATAGAGTTCTTGATCAACTTCAAGTGAGTTTTGATTAATAAGGAGTGAGTACCAGCGGTTTCATCTGGAGTCTGGGTCGTTCACTGCTCATATTGGTAACCATATATTTCACTGTGAGCAATTTCATTTAGAAAGAAATGTAAACTATATTTTATTTTATTGTAAATGAAATATGCAGAGGTTACTATCTGAGTGTAGAAATATCTCGTGGAACATATGAGCTTGAGCTGTGAGGGGGGTTATATCTTGAGCTGTGAGGGGGGTTATATCTTGAGCTGTGAGGGGGGTTATATCTTGAGCTGTGAGGGGTATTATAACTTGAGCTGTGAGGGGGATTATAACTTGAGCTGTGAGGGGTATTATACCTTGAGCTGTGAGGGGGATTATATCTTGAGCTGTGAGGGGGATTATATCTTGAGCTGTGAGGGGGATTATATCTTGAGCTGTGAGGGGGATTATATCTTGAGCTGTGAGGGGGATTATATCTTGAGCTGTGAGGGGGATTATATCTTGAGCTGTGAGGGGGATTATATCTTGAGCTGTGAGGGGGATTATATCTTGAGCTGTGAGGGGGATTATACCTTGAGCTGTGAGGGGGATTATACCTTGAGCTGTGAGAGGGATTATACCTTGAGCTGTGAGGGGGATTATACCTTGAGCTGTGAGGGGTATTATAACTTGAGCTGTGAGGGGGATTATACCTTGAGCTGTGAGGGGGATTATATCTTGAGCTGTGAGGGGTATTATAACTTGAGCTGTGAGGGGGATTATAACTTGAGCTGTGAGGGGTATTATACCTTGAGCTGTGAGGGGTATTATAACTTGAGTTGTGAGGGGGATTATACCTTGAGCTGTGAGGGGGATTATATCTTGAGCTGTGAGGGGGATTATATCTTGAGCTGTGAGGGGGATTATACCTTGAGCTGTGAGGGGTATTATAACTTGAGCTGTGAGGGGGATTATACCTTGAGCTGTGAGGGGGATTATATCTTGAGCTGTGAGGGGGATTATATCTTGAGCTGTGAGGGGGATTATATCTTGAGCTGTGAGGGGTATTATAACTTGAGCTGTGAGGGGGATTATAACTTGAGCTGTGAGGGGGATTATACCTTGAGCTGTGAGGGGGATTATAACTTGAGCTGTGAGGGGGATTATACCTTGAGCTGTGAGGGGGATTATATCTTGAGCTGTGAGGGGGATTATACCTTGAGCTGTGAGGGGGATTATACCTTGAGCTGTGAGGGGGATTATACCTTGAGCTGTGAGGGGGATTATACCTTGAGCTGTGAGGGGTATTATAACTTGAGCTGTGAGGGGGATTATACCTTGAGCTGTGAGGGGGATTATATCTTGAGCTGTGAGGGGGATTATACCTTGAGCTGTGAGGGGTATTATACCTTGCGTTGTGATGATTTTAGAGCTTTAGCTGCAAGAGAATCAAAGCTTGAACTGTGAGGGGGATTATAACTTGAGCTGTGAGGGAAATAAAACCTTAAGTTGTGAGGGGCTTAAAACCATGAGTTATGAGGGCTTAAAATCATGAGTTGTGTGGGCTTAAAACCATGAGTTATGAGGGCTTAAAACCATGAGTTGTGAGGGGCTTAAAATCATGAGTTGTGTGGGCTTAAAACCATGAGTTATGAGGGCTTAAAACCATGAGTTGTGAGGGCTTAAAATCATGAGTTGTGTGGGCTTAAAACCATGAGTTATGAGGGCTTAAAACCATGAGTTGTGAGGGCTTAAAACCATGAGTTTATGAGGGCTTAAAACCATGAGTTGTGAGAGCCTAAAACCATGAGTTGTAAGAGCCTAAAACCATGAGTTATGAGGGCTTAAAACCATGAGTTGTGAGGGGCTTAAAACCATGAGTTGTGAGGGCTTAAAACCATGAGTTGTGAGGGCTTAAAACCATGAGTTGTGAGGGGCTTAAAACCATGAGTTGTGAGGGGTTTAAAACCATGAGTTGTGAGGGGCTTAAAACCATGAGTTGTGAGGGGCTTAAAACCATGAGTTGTGAGGGGCTTAAAACCATGAGTTGTGAGGGGCTTAAAACCATGAGTTGTGAGGGGCTTAAAACCATGAGTTGTGAGGGGCTTAAAACCATGAGTTGTGAGGGGCTTAAAACCATGAGTTGTGAGGGTATAACATCTTTAGCTGTGTGGGCATCAGATATTAAAGAAGAGGGAATTATGAGAGGAAAGTACCAAGCTAAAACGACTATATAGCACTTGGAAACAATCAGGATAAGGATTTGGAGTATAAAAGTGTATACCAGCCAGCCACTGGCCCGGCCCCTAGCCGAGCTACTGGCCGAGCTACTGGCCAAGCTACTGGCCGAGCTACTGGCCGAGCTACTGGCCGAGCTACTGGCCGAGCTACTGTCCGAGCTACTGGCCGAGCTACTGGCCGAGCTACTGGCCGAGCTACTGGCCGAGCTACTGGCCGAGCTACTGGCCGAGCTACTGGCCGAGCTACTGGCCAAGCTACTGGCCAAGCTACTGGCCGAGCTACTGGCCGAGCTACTGTCCGAGCTACTGGCCGAGCTACTGGCCGAGCTACTGGCCGAGCTACTGGCCAAGCTACTGTCCGAGCTACTGACCGAGCTACTGGCCGAGCTACTGGCCGAGCTACTGGCCAAGCTACTGTCCGAGCTACTGGCCGAGCTACTGGCCGAGCTACTGACCGCTGCACTCACCATAGTACTCCGTCATGTCTATAGGCATAGTGATGACAAGACGCTTGCACTTGCGGAGCTCCCTGGAGATGAGCTGAGTGCATGCGACCAGGTGCACGAAGTTCTGGTTGTCCACAGGGATGCCCTCGGCCACATCACTGCAGGAAGACAGGTCTCATTAGTCACATGTGTAATGTCGCTCCAGTCACGTGTAATGATTATTCTAACACAGTAATTAAGGTTATAATACATGAGAAAACGCTTTTATCCTTTTATCGAAGGAGCCGGTTGGCCGAGCGGACAGCACGCTGGACTTGTGATCCTGTGGTCCCCGGTTCTATCCCGGGCGCCGGCGAGAAACAATAGGCAGAGTTTCTTTCACCCTATGCCCTTGTTACCTAGCAGTAAAATAGGTACCTGGGTGTTAGTCAGCTGTCACGGGCTGTTTCCTAGGGGTGGAGGCCTGGTCGAGGACCGGGCCGCGGGGACACTAAAAGCCCCGAAATCATCTCAAGATAACCTCAAGAAGATATCCTGAGGGATTATTGGGCACGCCAAAGGAGCATGGATCCCTGGCTGTCCGAGTTCGAATCCCTCAAGGGTAAAGGAAGTTTTTGATGTTAGTTTGGGGATCACAAGCACGACTAGTCCCATATATATTTTTATTATTCATATGCAGGCGATGAGTCACAATAACGTGGCTGAAGTATGTAGACCAGAAAATACACTAGAAGTTGAAGGGACGATGACTTTCGGCCCGTCCTGGACCATTCTCAAGTCGATTGTAAATGGTCCAGGACGGGCCGAAACGTCGTCGTCCCTTCAACTTCTAGTGTGTGGTCTGATCTACATATTTTTGTTATTATTGTATATAGTTCTTACGATATTTTTACGATAATATTAACTGTGATCAGTGATGTAATCATTGACACGTTATCACTGAATCATATGATCAATGACTAATATGATCAGGAGTACTATGGTAGTACACACAGAGAGGTACTAGATCAGTACCTGAGGGCTGCTAGAGGAGTACGCAGGAGGGATGCTTGCAGAAGTTCACAGAGTAATTAATGTAACAAGTAAACTAATCATGCCTCCCCCAGGATAACATCCCTCGCAGAAAGTTAGTTTGAACAATGATCAAGCACAATTAAGGAAGGCATTTAGGGACCTGGGAATTCAAATAGAAACACATAATACAATACTGTAACAACGAAAGCAGATTGAAAAATATAGTGGTCTTTTTAGGAAGGCATTTAGGGAACTGGGAATTCAAATAAAAACAAATAATACAATACTGTAACAAAGAAAGCAGATTGAAAAATATAGTGGTCTTTTTAGGAAGGCATTTAGGGAACTGGGAATTCAAATAGAAACACATAATACAATACTGTAACAACGACAGCAGATTGAAAAAGATAGTGGTCTTTTTCTAACCACTCATATAACCATTTATTAAATTTTTTACGTACATTTTTTTCTGATGTACGTACTGTGTGAGATGAGTGTTTAGAAGAAAAAGATAGTGGATAGATAGTAGTCATAAGATGAAACTGAAAACATAAAAATAGAGGAATGAAAAATATAGTATATTGGGACATGCAGTGGATAGTATAAATTTCCTGCCGAGTGCATGAAAATTCGCCATTAGATTGCTTCAGTGGATGAGTAAGAGGCCTTAAATATAGATAACCAAAGAGGAAAACGTCATATTCAGCCATACACTCTGGCTTCCTGTCCCATGACACAATGAATGATTATATTTATGGTCAGGTCTTTTGCTGTGTATCAGGAGATTGTATCCTAGACCATTATCTTTTTCAATCTGCTTTCGTTGTTACTGTATTGTATTATGTGTATCCATTCGAATTACCATCTACTAGTACTTCTAACATACAATTTTGTTTTACTACGAGCTCCGTTCTTTCCTTATCACTTGGTATCCCTGGAAATATTACATCCAATATCATATCTTTTATTGGTTTCCATTATTTCAATAATAACAAACTCGTTTATCATTAACCTATTCTTGTATTTCCACTGCTTTATTTATAACTCCATCAGCATTTTGTATGTCATATCTATATCATATCATATCCGTTTCCTGATTTCCACACATGTTTCCACACATGTCTAACTATTTTTTTCTGATGTACGTACTGTGTGAGATGAGGGGTTAGAAGAAGGAAGAGATTTATTGCTAGACAGAGAGTCCATGGAAAATATTCAGAGAAGAATGGGGAGGTAAGAGGATGAGAGACAGAGCCACAAAGGTAGTTGTGGTCCAGGTGGCCTGGGTTGTGGGCTAGCCAGAGGCTGAAAGATTGAGAGGGAAGCTGGTTGAAGGAGTTGAGAATCAGAGAGGGATGGGGATATAGGGAGGGTGGGTGTTAGGGGGGTTTTGAAGCAGAGATGATCTTTGAGGCAGAGGCGGGCATTGAAGCAGGAAGAAGAGGCATTGAAGCATTCAAGCAGAAGCAGGTTGAGAGGAATAAAGTGGGTGCTGATGTGCAGTTAATGACGGGATGATACCAAAGGGGGGAATTAGAGAGTCAAAAGTGGGCAGGAATACATGTAGGAGTATAGAGTTAGAGGGAATGTGGTAGGCAAAGGGGGTGGAGAAAGGCATAGAGGGAGATGGAGTGAGGCACTAGGAGGCAGCAAGCCAGAAGAGGGGTCAAAGGGGGCAGGGAGGAACCATGGAGTAAGAGGGGGAAGAAGAGTCACTGTGGTGTCGAATGACTGGGTGTAAACTGAGAGGCTGAGTGAGAGTGAGAGTGAGAGGCAGAGTGAGAGTGAGTTAGGTGTGTGTGTATTCACTTAGTTGTGCTTGCGGGGGTTGAGCTCTGCTCTTTCGGTCCGCCTCTCAACTGTTAATCAACTGTTACTAACTACTAAATTTTTCACACACACACACACACACACACACACACACACACACACACACACACACACACACACACACACACACACACACACACACACACACACACACACACCCCATGCTGCTGGTCATGGGGGACCTAAATCACGGAGAGATAGATTGGGAAACGAGGAATCCCCATGGCGGGGAGGAGACCTGGGGAGCGAAGCTGGTAGACGTTATTGACAGGAATTTCCTAACACAGCATGTGAAAGAAGATACTAGGGAAAGAGGAGGGGATACGCCCAGCCTATTAGATCTCATTATCACTCAGAATGTAGAAGACATCGAGCAGTTGGAACATGAAATACCACTAGGAGCTAGTGACCATTGTGTCCTAGCCTTTGACTACATGATGGAGCTTAAAATTGTGACCAAAGGACAAGAGGTCCGGGAAAGGAGACTTGATTACAGAAAAGGGGACTACAGAAGGATAAGGGACTACCTGGGAGAAGTGCAGTGGGAGGAAGAACTTAGAGGAAAAACAGTGCAAGGTATGATGAACCAAGTCATATTGAAATGCAAGGAGGCTGAAGATAGATTTATTCCAACAATAAAGGAAAAAAGCAGGAGGGAATATAATAACCCATGGTTTAATAGACAGTGTCAGGAAGCAAAGGTGAGAAGCAGGAGGGAGTGGAGGAAGTACAGAAGGCAAAGGACAGAGGACAACAGGATTAGATGTAACAGAGCTAGGAATGATTACATTAACATAAGACGAGTGTCGGAAAGAAATTATGAGAACGATATTGCAGTCAAAGCGAAAAAGCAACCAAAATTTCTACATAGCCATATAAGAAGGAAGATGTCGGTAAATGACCAAGTGACAAGACTGAGGAAAACAGAAGGGGCATATACAGAAAGCGACAAGGAAATCTGCGAGGTACTGAATGCAAAATTCCATGGAGTGTTCACTACCGAGCCTGAGCAGCTCCCATTGTTAGAAGAGATTACCCAAGATGAAAGACTATCAGATATAGAGGTGACAGCAGAGGATGTAATGAAACAGTTGACAACACTGGATGCAAATAAAGCTGTTGGACCAGACAAAGTATCACCGTGGATACTTAAAGAGGCAGCGCAGGCTCTCAGCGTGCCTCTGGCAATGATCTTCAATGAGTCACTTATGTCGGGAGAATTGCCCAGTTGCTGGAAGGAGGCAAATGTCGTACCGATTTTCAAAAAGGGGGATAGGGAGGAGGCACTTAACTACAGACCCGTATCACTGACAAGCATCCCCTGCAAAATACTTGAAAGAATAATTAGGCTAAGACTTGTTGAGCACCTGGAGAGCATTGGGTTTGTAAACAAGCACCAACATGGGTTCTGGACAGGGAAATCATGCCTAACAAACCTTTTAGAATTCTATGATAAAGTAACAAGGATAAGGCAGGACAGAGAAGGCTGGGCAGACTGCATATTTCTTGACTGCCAAAAGGCCTTTGATACGGTACCGCACATGAGACTGCTATACAAACTTGAGAGGCAGGCAGGAGTAAGCGGAAAGGCCCTAGTATGGGTGAAGAACTACCTAACAGGAAGGAGCCAGAGGGTAATGGTAAGGGGCGAAAAGTCGGACTGGCGAACAGTAACAAGTGGAGTACCTCAAGGATCGGTGCTGGGACCAATCCTCTTTCTAATTTACGTAAATGATATGTTTACAGGAGTGGAATCATACATGTCGATGTTTGCAGATGACGCAAAATTAATGAGAAGAGTTGTGACAGACGAGGATTGTAGGATCCTCCAAGAGGACTTAAACAGGCTGCAGAGATGGTCAGAGAAATGGCTACTGGAGTTTAACACCAGTAAATGTAAAGTTATGGAAATGGGATCAGGTGACAGGAGACCAAAGGGACAGTACACAATGAAGGGGAACAGCCTACCTGTAACGATTCGAGAAAGAGACCTGGGAGTGGATGTGACACCTAATCTAACTCCTGAGGCACATATAAATAGGATAACGACAGCAGCGTACTCTACACTGGCGAAAATTAGAACTTCATTCAGAAACCTAAATGAGGAAGCTTTTAGGGCGCTTTACACTGCCTACGTGAGACCCGTCTTAGAGTATGCCGCGCCATCATGGAGCCCCCACCTGAAGAAACACATAAAGAAACTGGAGAAGGTTCAGAGGTTTGCGACGAGGCTTGTCCCAGAGCTACGAGGGATGGGATATGAAGAGCGGCTGAAGGAACTGAACCTTACGACACTAGAGAAAAGAAGGGAGAG